TAAGATCGAATTACCATAAGAGCTATGTACCCTGTCCACTGTTGTTTCATACTTAGTATTCGTATGAATTATGTCCTTACTTTGACCTCTGAGCCCGGTATTAGTCTTAATGTATATCAATAATATAGTCTCTACGATCATCCATTTCAATTTTCTCTAAGTGGCATATATTTTGTTGATACTATTTTGCGAGTACTCGAGGCGAGGTTTCTGTACCATAGATGAGTATCTTTGAAATACACTTAACGAACGATTTGGCTTTCTGATCTGTAGTTTCATTTATTTTTCGCATGCAGCCCACTTAAGGCATTTGGGAGTTATAAACTTGTTTAATAAAATGTGTTTCGATCTATGTAGACAGTACACCAAGGCGAATGTACACCCAGGTATCACAATTAAATCTGGAGCCTTTGGACACACTACACGGCGAACGCAAGATTGTGTATTTACTGTGATTTGTATGTCCAATAAATAATTCATACATTCATATATCAAAAAAGTTATGAATGGCGAGGAAGGACTGTATAAAATAAAGATCTGTTTACCCCGCAGGATACCTAGCGTGGTGATGTACGATAAGTTAAGTCCAATCATAGAAGGCGAAAAGCGCTTTTAGTAATAGAAAATAATAAATCAAATATTTTCGCTAGTATTGGATATCCCATACAATAGTAGGTACCAGCAAGTGCCAGGTTACCGACGATGTTTACATTACAATAATTCCCTCGGCCAAATTTTACGAGCGGAATGACAAACAGTAAGCACTTTTGTTTTAACATTTCATTTTGTATTCACATTTGTACAAACATCCCATAAAAAGCCTTTAAGTAAATTAAACGAATTGAGTGTTCCCATTTAGCCAGTCACTAATTTGATATTCGAATATTAACGTCATCCACAACTACGATATTGTCTGCACCAATTTCTTTAATGGTTACTATTAATCGTTTTGTTGTTGCAAACGTGATATCAAAACAAATGAATGTTTGTGCAATTTAGTGTAATATTCTATACTAGCTTTCCACCAGCGGCTTCACCCGTGCGATCTTGTATTATACATATAGACATTCCTCTTGAATCACTTTATATATTGATAAAAACTATATTAAGCTCCGTTGAGTAATATAAAAGATCTCAGCGTACACCGACAGACTGACAGCGGGAACCGACTTTGTTTTATACAGTGTATAGATATTAAACAAATTTAAGGTTTTTAAGGTTTTATTTTAAAAGATTTTCGTTAAGATGCGCGGAAAGATTAAGAATATGAAATTTCGAAAATCGATCAAACATTCGCGAAAAAATCAGTGTGACATAAAACCAATTATATCGATATACAAACAAATGTCATAATCCGAAATTTAGGACCGTCTTGGGTTCATAATCTATCTAATAAAAAATTAATTTTGAAAATCGGTCAACGACTCGCGAAAAAACCGCTGAGGATAAATAAAAAAAGGTTAATCACCGTCCAAGATAGAGCCTCCTCCTTTTCGAATTTGAAGTCGATTTATAAATAGTTGTCAATTTAATGAATAAAGGCTCTTGTAAAGATCGTGAACAGTTCAGCCAGAAGGCATATATTCGTTTATTTGCTTTGCATTCAACTGTAGAACTCCGTAACAGACAAACCTCTTAGCCTGTCTTCTTAATGATCGGTCAGCATTAATGCCCTCAACAAATCCCACATCTAACGGCAATTCCTATTATAATGCTATCTTACAATGATAAATCTCGTCCTACACCTGCCATTAACAAAGACTCTTCACACACTTTCAAAGGACTCAATCGCAATGGAATAAAGCTCGCTTTCTCGAACCCTTTTTTAGTATTCAAGTGACATTCTAAGGCGTAACGATTGTAAGTTTTATGCGGAAAGAATTAAGGCCTACAAAAGGTTGAACTTGTTGAAGAAGACTGATGATTATTGGCCGGAATAAATTGCCGTGATCTTTCAAAGCTGTTACAATCGATTTGGTGAAGTCACTTTTCACTATCACGTTTTTTTTTAGTTTTTCACTGTACACAAAACATATTAGCTAATAGTGATTTCTTATCCATTATATTTTCAATTTCAGTATTCGTATTTTATGCTCGGATTGTATTCTGTAATCAACTGCACATTGCATATATTAAAGTCCCCATTATTAATCAATTAGCTTAACGTTAATAAATCAATATCGGTTTTATAAAATGGGAATTATTTTTGATCTCTACTTCTGAAGTTAATTATTGGACGACATCACATACATTGTTCAGACACCAAATTAAGAGCTGAAACACTAGTATTATGGAAAATCCTGAGCAGATATGTAGACCCGACCAGGTATTAACTCATCAGATCTCAAAGACAGCGGCACTTTGAAGACAGCGAAGCGAACAAGCCACTCAACCACGTAGATAATTAGACACAGGCTTTTTAAGGACTTCGAGGATGAAAAAGTTAATAATCTTAAAATGTTAACTTATAAATGTCATTAAATCTGCTTGTGACAAAGAAATAAACACACAAATTAATTAACTAGTGAAATAGAAGGGTATATAAAACATCAACTATTACTAATGCCTTTAATAACAGAAATAGAGTTCTGAAAATAGAAATCGATTTCATGTCTATTTTTGAAGTGATTACTTACTTGAAAAATTGATATCGTTATGATTCACCGAAACATTTCTATAGTTAAAAGGGCGTCTAAACTGAATTGATTGTGAAATAAAGAAATGTCATCCAAATAAATTTTAATTAAAAATGATATTTCATTGTTCCTCAGTAAAGTAATTGGACCAAAACATATATTCATAGAACTTCAAACGTAGCAGTAATAACTTATTTCTAAAATTTAACTTTATTATTTATTGTCCTTGTTATTATAATTATATTTTATGCTAAAAACTGATAATTATCGAGGAGCAAATTATCAAATAATTTCAGCCTTCTTTAAGGATGGAATTTAATAGAAAGAACGGACCATGACCCACCACGCGGGCCAGAGCGGTTTGGTGGGTATTAACGACTGCAGATGCAGCCAAGACCACCGACTTAACGTGCCTTACGAGACACAGAGGAGCTTGATATAATATATATTTTTTGTCACCCATCCCATGACCAGTCATTGCGAAAGTTACCTAACAACCTTATCATAGACCCAGAGCACTACTTTAAGAAGATCGATGGTGCAGTGGTTAGGGTATCGTATCTTAGCAGTTAATAATATTATCCACCTTCCAAACTGATTATTAAGATACCCACGTGCATATAGGGCTGGTGCTCCATCGTATTGCAATAAGAGCGAGATGTAGATACTGAGAGAATTTTAAATAATATGTCTTCCAACTCACCTCGCAGGAAAATGAAATAATACTGTGTGGATGCATGCAATGGTTAGATAAAAATAACATTGTTAATGAAATATCCATAGATTAGTCCTATTAATATTATAAATGTGAAAGCTTCTTTGTTTGGATGTTTGTTTGTAAATCACGTCGAAACTACTGAACGGATTTAAATGAAATTTGGTATATTAGCTGATTTAGGTAATAGAAAATTTTTTATTCCACTAAACGTTTCACTAGGGACCACGCGGGCGAAGCCACTGGTGAAAGCTAGTATAATACATAATTACGTAGTAATATCCTATGGGTTTCATTTTATTTTAGTTATACGGATATCTTTATTTCTCTAAATAAACAATAACCAAAATAAATTGGTTTTTAATGTTAAAACTAAAATAATAAACAACAGTTTAGTGCATATATGATATTGCATTTTATGCACAGGACCTATTCTAATAGTAGATTAGTAGCCAAGGGCTGTAAGGCATCAATTGCAACCCAAGATATTGAGTTTGAGGGTGCAATTGATGCTTACACCCGAACTAACTACTTTGCTTTAGATATCGATTGGGAGGTAAGTACAAAAAAAACGGCATTACAAAAATAAAACATTTTATTAGTTAAAATATCTCCCTTTAGAAAATTCAGGCAAAATATTGTTAATTGCTGCTTCAGCTTCAAGTTTCATTGAATCGAGAGTGCAACTTATATCTTCTGCACTTGAAGAACTCATGTCTTTTCCAAATTAGCAAGTGATTATAAAAAAAACCATAAACAAACAATATTTAAATTAAAGGTTTTCTATTTTCGCTTTTTTCCATTTTTGTTTGCTCCTACAAAATATTTATAAATAAATAAGGAACCAAGAAAATAACTTTTTTTTTAAGAACGAAATTGAGTTTCGCCGTTCGATATTCAAAATTGTCTATTAAATGTCTTTATATTATAAAATATAAATAATATTATTATAGAATGTCTATTACCAGTATGATGGTTAGATGTACGCGAATTTTTGAAAGAGAGACGTGTTTTTTTTTAATACTTACCGCCCTAGGGCTTTTCTAGCTACATTATTACTCTAGAGCGCTTACTGGTCACCCACATTTGGGAGTAATAAGAACCTACATATCGAATATGAGAGAAGTAAATATTTTCATCTATGGGTAGCTGCATCATACTCAAATGACATAGGCAAAGTTAACGAGGGTGAATTCGCAGGAAAAAGTTTATTGATAAAGTAATGATCAAATAAGGATATTAATTAATAGTAATGCACCACAATTCAACATTGTTTGTTTGTGTTACTCATTTCCATGCATGGTTGCCTGATAGATGCCGCTAATAATTCATAAGCCCTCCGTTTGTAATTTCTTATGTTTTGTATTCTGTTTATTTTTAATGTGTGCAATAAAGTTTATTCTGTTTATCATTATTGGCAACACTTCGGCAATAAAAATACAGCCTTTTATTTTGCGATTTCTATTCAAACATTTTTATTTTTAGTAAAGATAATAAATACTCTTTGGATGACACCATCGACAATAATTTAAGATCGCATCTCACATCGTATGTTAAAGAGTAAAGTGTAAGTTGTTTGTCAAATTTTTCACGTAAAATTAACAGTTCACATTTTGTTAATCTTCAGATCAGAAACTTGGGACTCCAAAATGAGCTACTTGGAGAAGGTTGATAAATACTTGGATTCACTCAAAGTGGGAAAAAGTGAGTATCTTTTCGTTTTACACTATTCTTCAACGCACAACACAAATAGCGTAGCTTCAACAACTTTACTTGCAAGAATGTTACATTAATTTACAACAATTTGTTGAAAGTTGAGTTTAAGATTGATACATACGCATACATACATTCACACATGCACAGGGAGAGACATCAGTTTAAGATTTTTGTCGATTGAAATTAATTGCGTATGCGGTGAGCCTAACCAAAAGTCATACTCTACCCAAGTACGTATGAATGAAAAGAGTTACTTTGTCAATGTAAAAGAAATGTAAAGATCCTCGAAGTGATTGGTCCACTATGCCTTCCCAGCAAAGGTCAGATACGTGAAACTATACCTATCTATATATAGACAGAAAGACAAAGTTCTGTAACATATTTTGATCCTAACTGTTTATATAATTAAGGTTTAAAGTTGTATTATGTATATTTCATTACAGGTGCAATAGTGGATTCATGGTTCATGATGTCCAGTCCTAAGCCGATCGTGTGTGTAGTTTTGGCTTACATGCTGGTGATCAAATTGGTACCTATACTGATGAAAAACCGGCCGCCACTGCAGTTGAATAAATTAATCGCATACTATAATGCCTTTCAAGTATTCTTAGCTAGTTTGATCTGTACTAAAGTAAGTGAGAACTAAGTACTATTTTTTGTCTATATATATTGTAAAACCAAAGTTAAATTTGAAAATAATAAAGTTAGGAGGTTTTGATGTAGGGTTTTTAATTAAAGTGTTTATACAAATGTCTGCAGTTTGATGTTTATATTTCGGAAAGCTGTCATGCTGCATGGGACACTAGATGTAGTTACTAGGTTCCTAGACTTAATTAGGCAATAATAGATTTAATTCCTAATATGTTACTTGTCAGTCGATTTCGAAAGTACCTATAGTATTTTAATTAGAACTTGTTATCACTTTGAAGCGAAAGGGCAGAGCTTAAAATGTTTGTTTACTTTAATAATGAATGAAACAATTATAAATTAATTATTAAGGTGAAGCAAAATAACTAAATCCTTGATTTTATTATTAGAAATAATAAAACCAACATTTAATTTAATCATCATGCTCAATCATACGGTTATAAAAATCTAGTCAACTCATGACTTCAAAAGAATTACATATTGTCAATTAGCTGCCATGTTATTCCTTATTCGGGGAATAAATAGTTGACTTTCATTGATTTTTAGAGGATGCATTTATTGTAGAGAAACTACTTCAAAATCTTTAACCTAATCAGTTCAAACACTCGGAAATATATTGTTATTACCAATTTTATTCTTTGCTCTGTTCTGCTAAGATCTAAACTAGTGATGATAATATAATATTGTTTTTTTGTTCAGGCGCTACGAATGAACCTATTCAGTGATGGTATATTATATGCAGGGTGTCGGTATCCGTCCAATACACACAATCCAATGGTAAGTATTATAATTTACGTCAAACGTGATTTATAAGTCTTTAACGATAAAAAAAAAGCTTAATAATCACCAAAATTTTTAAAGCATTTTTCATTTAAAATATTTTCCAGTATAGCATTGTGATTGAAAAATGATGAAACATAATAGTAAAAATATAAAAGATAAGACCACATCACACACATAGCTAAATTAGCACATTTAGCCGCTAAAGCTAAACTTGCTAATAAATCTAAAACAACAAGATACCAACGCAAGGTCAGAGACAACAGATTAAAAAAATCTACACTTGACCCGAATCTGGGACTTCACTTATGGCGACATCTATCATAAAAATGGTTTACTCATAAAATTTAATGAATAATTTAATGATTACTTAATTTGCAGTCACAATGATATATCGATATTTATCTTATAGAGAAATATTTTGAAAAAATCCCCAGTCCCAGGTGCCTGATAAAGAATAATACCTATATTATTTAATATTTGTGTTCATTCCCTGATTTTATTATTAACATGAGAATGATTGCTAAAAATAATAAATAATGATATATAATTGGAACTCGTAAAATATAAAGTACACAATAACAATCATACTGATGTTAATGAAAAACAACATATTTTTATTATTCATTATTAATGTCAATATGACCTATATATTTTATAATATGATTATTTCAGTTGTTAGAATTAGGCTGGTGGTATTTCTTCGCCAAGTTCACAGAGCTCTTAGATACTGTCTTCTTTGTTCTTAGAAAGAAAAATAACCAGGTAATTGTTCCTATTTATTTTTAAGTTTTTCAAACAACTTTAGTTTAAACGCAATCCAAAAAAAACAGGAATCAAGAGAAGTCATTAGTTCAGCCCCTATTGCGTAATATAAACTTCATCAGCTGTCAGTAACTTCAGATTAAAATAATTTTAAAAAATTAAGTAGCGAGAGAACTATATTGGGAAAATCTGAACCAACAAAGGTAACACAATACCCAAGAACAGACTATAAAGAAACATTATTTTTTTATATTACCCAAGCGAGAATAGAACTTGGTACCTCAGAGAGGGCGTCACATTCTCGACTCGACCACGTGGGTCGTCGAAATATACTAAATTTGCTCGACGTTTTAACGTTGGTAACACGGTACCTTCAATAAAAAATATTTATGATTCTTACTATAAGTCTTTATAAATCTCATAATTAATTTAGCGAACTAGTTTTATATTTGCCATTTTGCATGCCTTCCGGAAATTGGCCTCCAAGTTTAAAATTCAAGGGTCGCCTTACTCTCTAGCCTTGATTCTCGCCACAGACTACGACATCTTAGCAATGTCTAGAAAAATTTTAAATGTCTCTATAATAGTAAATAATCCATTCCTGTAGTAATATTACCTTTCATTATATTAACATACTTATGCGTGTCGTATTTACATCCAGTAGGTTTTAATGCAGTCCCAAAGATTAAAAGGCTTTTTTTATGCATTAGTGTGATCATTGTAAACCAGTTTTGTGAGCCCAATAAAAAAATGACGATATTTCGTTTCATATTACTACTTTAACATGCCTTTTAATGCATAAATTTAGGATAAATGACTGAATTGGCAACACTCTTAATTCTATAATCATCATTCTTTATCGTATGTTCGTAGTTATTAAAGTACATGTAAAAGTAGTGAAATGAAACAAAATATCGCCATTACATCGAATAAATATCGTATCCTATGAATAGAATCATGGCTATAAAGTTAGGTTAGGTTAGGTTAGTCGCACTCCAGCTTTGTGTCACCGACTTACTTCTTCTTGATATGCCACTCCTATCGGAGCTTGGACAGCATCGTGGCTGTCTTTATTTTTGATGTTGCTACACAGAGGAACAGGGCTGTGGTGCTCTGTCCAAACCAAACCCTCAAGTCCTTAAGCCAGACTACATATGTGACAGACAGCAATGAAGCATTTTTTTTCCAAAATATGTATTTACATAGTAACAATAAAAATAAATAACTAAATTTAAATCAAACAATTACTTTATAAATAATTTAATTAAAACAAACTCACTTCGTTTTGAGGGTAAATTTTGCACAGCTTCCTTCTTTTACTTTTGATGGTATTACTATTCTATATTCAAGTACTGTCAAAATCTTGGGAGTTATCTTGGAAACTTAATGGCCCGCTATTCGCCGGCTCTGGCACTAGCATACTCATACGCTTCTCTATTCTATTCTTGCCTATGTCACCTTATCTAAAAGAATGTTTTTTAACTCGTACTTTTTTCAGTGTATACTGCGCTTTGCCTCCAACCTGACCCTTGTTATTCCTTTTCCATGCATGCTGTTCGGTTATCGAACTCGCTACCGGAAACTGTTAGGAAGGCTCGCTCTTTGAGATCCTTCATTGCAGAAGTGATGTGCTATTTTCGGTCTAATTTGTAACTAGCATGCATACCTGTCCTTTTTTTTCTTCTCGTCTTACGTATTAATAAATCTATTTAATTTAATATTAAACATATTATTGCACATATTCCCCTTCTTCATTATCTATCTAGATATTGCTATATAGCAACAAGGCCACCATTTGTATACTGTACTTAATTTTTTTTAAATATAATCAGTTTTTGTGCACTAAAGAATATTAAAAAATATATAAAATCATGTTTCCCATACAACAAACGTGATTTTTTTGTTTGTTTCTGGTACGAAACCCTTCATGCACGAGTCCGATTCGCACTAGGTCAGTTTTTTTACATATTGATGGCGTTTTTGACATTTCAGGTGACATTTTTACACGTATACCATCACGTTATAATGGCTCTATATTCTTGGAGCTATCTAAAGTTTGCGGCTGGTGGCGAAGGCCTTATCTTATCTCTTCTCAATTCGACGGTGCATGTTTTCATGTACACGTATTACCTGCTCTCCGGGTTCGGACCAAAATTTCAAAAGTACCTATGGTGGAAGAAATATGTTACTAAAATGCAACTGGTGAGGAATGAAAATTGTTTTATAGACGTAAACATAATAGTTTGTATATCAAATAATTACAGTACATTTTGAATCTCAACTTGATTAAAAAAATGTAATAATTTAATACTTTCTCTTTTAACTACAGATGCAATTCTGCATGATGCTTCTGTATTGTGCATGGACTCACTTCTCGCCGCGCTGCCAGTACGCTTCCGGCTTCACTTACTTCATCAGTGGCAACATAACTATTTTCCTGCTTCTCTTTCTAAATTTCTACTCAAAAAGTTATAAAGGCAAGAAAAATGTAGAAAAAGAAATCAAAGAGGAGTACAAAAAGCTAAGAAACGGTGTCAAAACTAATGATACTAATAAACCAATCGTTATTGCTACCCAAAATGGTAAGAAAGAAGAAAATGGCTTTCATCGGAATAATGTCAATAATATTAATGAGTTAAATGACAATACGGTACTTAATGGTTGTAGAGATTATTCGAAGGATGCTAAAGTATTTCTAACAAGACGTCCGGCCAAGGAAGCTTTAGGTCCACATTACGACTATGATAGCGTAATAAAGAAATGATTTAATTTCATAGACTGTGGTAAGAAGGCTTCTTTTGAGACTGATGATTGTGATGATGCAGATGAAAGAAAGTTATAATTTAGATAAGGTTTTAATAATAAATGGAATTTTTAATTATAAGTATGCTTAGAATAGATTTTAATTGAATGGCAATGCTAAGTAGAGCTCTTTGAAATAAAACAATGAATATCAGAGGCTTCTTAATCGTCAATTACGTTACATTCTTGATACACTTAAATATTTTGTGGTTTGGTTTATTTGTTATTAATTGTTTTATCGAAAGAGTTCTAAACAATTACTTGTAAGTTTTAAATCTTCTTTGTGAGATAAAAAATTCTAAAGTTTCAGCATATCGTAGTTTATAATTGCAAAAGACTTTATGCCATCATGATAAATTATAAAAATGTTTACAGTGAGAAGATACGCTTTAATATTTGAAATGTTTACAATAATCGCCAACCGCACAATTTACCTTAATTAGACTTTAAGATCATCTGGATTGGTATGATATGTATCCAACGTGAACCTGAGACCTCCGATTGACACTGTTTCCGAGAAATCTATAGCTAATAAATAATTTTTACTATTATTGTAAGATTTTTCTATGTGTGTTATTACTATTCTGTGTCATTTTATTATTTAATTAGAGGAGCTTGGATTTATCGGTTGTAGAAGTCTTCGTTGAAAATTAGTAATCGTAGAATGGGCTAAGCAATTGTATTATTAAATAAGATATGTTTTAACGTCGTATCAATTTAATAGGAAATATGAATTTGTTGATATCGCCATTATGTTATAATTTGCATTTTATAAAAATATATGAAACTAAGCCTAATCTTGTGACAGGATTGCTTATAGGTATTGTTAAAAAAATATTTTATTTGAATTACACTTAGTTACGTTTTTAGCACTGCAATTATAAAATGATCTAAATATATCAAAGTCGAAAACTGTGCCATCCGGAGACCGCGCATTGTGAACAACCGTCAAAAAAATCAGCGAGGGCTACTCCTTTTTCCCTACTCATTTTAATAAACAAAAATCTAATTTGCTCATGGAGTATTAAGGAGTAACAATGGAGTACCAGTCACACTCTAAAACAAATCTGTTAGCGTTTCGATGCAAAGATTAAAGATATTGAGCAGGTTTCGTAACTTAATTTTCGTGCGAGTGATTAACAGAGTTTTGTAATTCCTAGGCTTTCTAGCCTCTTTTGGCAAACTTGATAATTTCTTTCAAATTTACCAGTTACCAGTTGCACTTACTATATAATCCATAAAGAAGGGCTGTGTTCCAACAGTGTCCCCAATTCAAACATTTTATAGCTGCAATGATAATATCAATAGTATTTTTATGAAGACCATCAAAATCAAAATAATTTTCATTATTAAGCTTTCATTTTGATGGAATATAGCGGGACCTAATTTCAATGTAGGGATCAGAAATGATATATGCTCTTAGTGAAAATTAGATAGATGATTGTTAATACTAGACCAATATACCGCTAATTAGGAATTTAACGAGTCGTTTCTGGGAATCGATTACTACACGGCCTTACTTTTAGCTATCACATTTAATAGGTATATAAATTAGTTGTGTTAATATGAAATTAACGTCTAAGGAACTGGAAAACTGATGCTAAATGAACGCTAGAACTGGTTATATAACATATTACGGAATAAGTACAACAAAAGCAATCCAATAATTTAATGTGCTATTAAATATAAGAACGGAAAAATAATTTCAAAGTATTGTTATTGACTTTTTCTTTAAAATCGATGGTTGTTACACTTGTTGTTTCAGAGATGAAATAGATAATTATTAAAGACGGTGTTTAAAGGTTTTCAAATATTAAATTTTAGTTGCAAAATTATATAACTTTTCTTAAAATATTACTTAAAATGATACAAAATGTTATATATAAGTAAATGAAAGAATAAACGATTGTTTTGAATATAATCGTGTTTTATTATAAGCGACAATCTTTATTATTTTAGATGTACGTAAATTGTAAGAGTAAAAATTGGTGCTTCTTAACCATCATCAATTAGGTGCTTCTAATATCGGGTTATTACTAGTCCTCCGATCGGTACTCCGATTATTAAAAGCAGCGGATTTTTTTCCCAATCCTCGGACTATTGGGTAAGTGGAGCGGGAATACTTTTTCCCGAACCTCCGATTGATTATTTTTTTTATCATTTACTTAATTGAAGTATATTGAATAAAATATTCATCACCAGCCTCTTAATATCCCTATTGTTGGGACACAGGCCTTCAGGGTTCACACATGATGGAGACAGAAAAGGAAAACCGGTCAAAACATACCACGCGTTCTCATTGTGGATTGGTGGGTGTTAAAGACTGCAGATGCAATTGGGATCAATGGTGTCAACTTAACGTGCCTTCCAAAGTATGCATATATTTTTGGCCACCCATCCCATTAACCTTGTGAAAGTTGCTTTTCCTCCGAGTCGCAGACCGGACGCGCTCACTACGTACATCATTTAGATCCCTTGGGATTGGTAAATCAAATGATGATGTCATTCCTAATAATATTTGTCTCGATTTTCTTGATGTCAATATTTCCTCTGCATCTATTATTCATGATGCAGTAAAATCCAAAATTTTGAGTCAGCTTTCTTCTTAACTAATTCCTAGCGTCTTTCTATTTGTTTTTGGTTAATTATTGGATTGTGATGTTAATAAGAGCCTTCTATCAATCTTCTCTTATGCAATAGGCAGTGATGATATTAGACGCAATATGTATACCTATCCTTGATATCATCCTTCCTGTCCTTACCTTCCTTTTTAATTGTTCTATTTCCAACTCAATTTATATTTCAACCTGGAAAGATGCTTACATATATTATCCCTAAAGTACGTAAACCCAAAGCCATCAACATTCTCCTTTTTATCCAAAGGAAACTATATATGTCACAATACACCACGCTTTAAGAATACCCTAATAAATAACTTCTAAATTATCTTTACACAGTTCCGGTATTTAAAAAGTGTCAATTAAAATCTATAATAAATTACCTGAATACCTAAAGAACGATAAAAGCATACACTCAATTTATAGAAATGCTAAAAAACATCCTTTTAAATATATGCTATCAGTTAGTGAATGAATATTTTAATGAAAACTTTCAGATAAATGGAATGTCTGACCCTCTTCTTTCCATCTTTCTATTTTGCCCTACCCATCAAGGTACATGTGCAACTTTGGAAGGTGCGGGACAAGCGAAATTGTCCATAGTGGCTTGACACTTCTCTTAGTGGCTTGCAAATGCACTTCTTTCATTGATGATTACACTCAAGAAATGTCGTCTTTGATATTTTTTTAAACAACATTAACAATAATATTATATAGATATATAGATAAATGCATTTGTTTATAAGAAATATTTCTGTTATTAGTAAGTTGTAGTGATTTGATAATTATTGATATAATTCATGTAAATGTTCAATAACAATAAAAAAAAAGTTCTTAATAGGTAGTATTCATACCAAAAAAAGTTAAAAAATATATAAGAGATCGTAAATTTATATAAAAAAGTCAAAAATTAAATAAAATTGACTAAGGCTATTATAGAAACATTATACTTAGAGACAATAAAAAAATAGTTATACAGCGTGTTTGGTAATACCTGTATAATCCCGAAACATGGCCATATAACCTAGCACAAAGAACACAATTGGTATGTCAAAAAACAATTTCACGTAAATTGATATTTTCATACAAATATTTGAACAATTTGTTTTCAATTACTATGCTACAACCCTGTAAGCTTACACGTGCCGTCCCGGCGCGCTCGCTCTTTCTCTCTCTCTCGCTCTCTCTCTCATTACCTCTCACTCTCTCGTTTCCTAGAATACATTTTGATGTTGCCGACGCGCGCACTCGACTACGTATGAGTTTACTTGTAATTTAAAAAAACAATTTAAGATTAAATAGGTACGCATACCTACAGCGTTCTAATCACTCTTTCAGCTTTCACTTGGCAACATTACCTACACTTCACCTCCACTTTATCAGTCCAGGGTCTCGATATGCCGGCCACCGCATAAAACACACATCTCCATTCGACTCGACACAGACCGTGTCGTGTTACTCTCGACGTAAAATCATATCCTCTGTCTCGATGGAATAGGTGTTCGGCCGGCCTACCTGTGGCACACTATGGAATGAACCAGTTGTATGTAACCAATTCACAAGTGCCGCGAATCACCGGTAAGAAGGAAGACGTCGATGGTTTTCAGATCTTCCTGACACGTGGCGCTCGTCATAACGCCGCCGAGCCGCAGCAAGATTACCGTCACAAGCACCGCCACACATTATCATCTCGTAATATTAGGCATTTGAGTACGAATTCATTGCACTGACCGCACACAAACATAACATACAGGTAAACAGAACGAGAATGAAAAACAAACCAAAAGTCCCGAAAGAACGAAAACGTAAGTTGACCTTCTAAATTCTGAAAACTCACAAGTACACCGATGAAAATCACGGACGCGACTGACGCGATGACCAAAACTACATAGGTTATTATTATTGCAACTCGAACACCAATGTACCTAAATCAAAAGTGCACCGATTTAGGGTTCCGCGTCCTCAAATTCTGTGTTACGTAACCTACCTAACAAAAAATCGTTATTTTTTTATTGAATTAAACAATTAAATTTCAAAGTAACTTACCATACTATTTTTTACTGACGAAATTGATAATTAGGCTATTTACTTATTATTACAATTTTATTTACGAAAGAAAAAAAGGCCATAATATTAAACGTGGTTACCTAATTTAAGACCAAGTTATTAAAAAATTATTGATTAAATTAGAAAAGAAAAGAAATATTATTTATTATTAGGCCTTCCATTACAACTAACCTTTATTTAATAATCATTTAAACTAAGAATAAGCGAGATACTTAGATTATTAATATCATTGTATAAGTCCGTATTTTATTGTTTCGTGAAAATAACACGGCTTTATGAAAAAAATAACAAAACTTCAAAGCAAATAATCTACAGAACCTTACTGCCACATCAGAAACCCGAGTTTCTCAATACATATCGTCGTCGATTTTATGTCTCTGTCGCTCCTTCTTGCATAGACTAATGTGAGCAATGGTGCAGATATTGAACTTCAATCAAAGTATTTGCAATTTATTTTTTATTTTGACTGTATTATTAGAGAAGTTTTCTTAATAATAGTTTTTGAAACACCGTTAATCACAAGATTAGTGTTTTTATGGTTAAAAGCACAGAACATAGAGAGAGATAAAAGTCATTTACTACTAACTTTTTCTTTGTTTGGAAATAATAAGTTACTCTCGGATGCATATTTATTCTAGGCATTTATCTTTAGATTTATTTAACTTCTGTTATTTTTTAAACTAGTTCGGCACATGGAGTCGATGACCAAATACAACACAACAGCTGTTTTTAGGGTTGTCAGCGTACAGTTTTACTTCGAAGAAAAAAAGCTGAATATCTAGGTCATGTGCTGGGTTTTAGACTTAGTGATCATTTTTCTGGGTTCTATTCATCATACCGTATGTGCCATATTCGGGATTATACAGGTATTATTACCAAACACGCTGTAGACTCACCAGAAATTTACAGTTCGAAATTGAATGAGAGTAGGCAAATTTATGACTAAACAATTACATCTACAAATTGAGAACTTGCAAGCTTCTTTAGAAAATGCACAAAAACAAATAAGTGAATATATAATGTCAGCTACTGAGTTAGTCGATCAAGTAAAGTCAAATTTTATTAAAGAGAAAATAAAGAATTCCGATAACAAAATCAAAACAAAACCATGAAACCGGTGAGAAGCAAATACATGAAGACGTTTAGAAACATACGTGCCTAATGTAGACAGCCAGTTTAAATTTAAATACATAATTTTCTTAGATATTATTAAAACCTTCAAATGTCTGAAAAAAAAGCACATGTGATTTATGGGGCATATCTCTTAATATTATTAAAGGTATATTTAACGTTATAGCTCCTTACTTGGCTGATATATTTAACCGTTGTATAGATAAAGGATTTTTTCCAAATCTTAGGAAGCTTAGCAAAGTTATACCTCTTTTTAAATCCGGTAATAGAGAAGACCATAATTATTATAGACCTATATCAATATTACCGACGTTGAGTAAAATATTCTTGACCAGTTACTGTCTTACTTTAATTTAAATAAATTACTCCGTACTAAACAATATAGTTTCACGAAAGGTCGCTCTACTGCTGAAACATATATTTAAGGCTTGGGAGGTGTCATAGAATGCCCTTGAAGTATTTTATGACTTATCTAAGGCATTTGATTGCGTTGCAGCATCAAACACTGGCAACGAAGCTAAATATTCTTTGTTTGGATGTTTGGATGTTTGTACGTCAATCACGCCGAAACTACAGAACGGATTTTGATGAAATTTGGTATACAGATAGGGTGTTAGCTGACTTAGATAATAGGATACTTTTTATCCCACTAAACATTTCCCTAGGATCCACGCGAGCGAAGCCGCTGGCGAAAGCTAGTTAATAATGATTGATTAATTAATAGCAATCAATGAATATTCATTGAAGAATAAATTGTTTTACGTTGAATCAATGCTCCAATAATACCTGCGCAGCAGACGTCATATTGGGTTTACTTTCATTCCGTTTACTGTATGTCTTATGAACGTGAAGGTCTACTTTACTAAAGTTAGCAATTAAAGGTACAACTTTTTATTGTACACCTGTCTATATAATCAAAGGGTGCAACGTATTATATGTAAGTAACTAAACTCGTTCGTTGTGTGAAACATCACTATTACTGGTTTCGATTTGACAATATTCCTGACTTCACCTTGGACCATTTAGTTGATCTTTTAATATTGAACTTCAAGAAACAATTGTCGAGAATAGAAATAAGTAAAGAAACATTTAACGATTATTTTTATTAAGTCACTCGTGTTTGCTGCGCGTGTTTAGCTTGTGAGACAGCGGTAAAATGGCAAACTATAGTGTTGCTAAAATAACGGATAATTCATTATGGGATAACAGTGATAAACGTATGTATATTAAAATTACTTGTTTAATATTTAATATGAAGAACCATCGCACATAATAGTCCAATGAAAAAAAGCTATATAATCTTAAAATTAACAATTTAATTCCAATATAATTCTTGTAATCAAGAAACATATTGGAATTTCTTAATATGATGCTAACTATCATACATAAATGCATCAAAACCCAAAAATTGAGATCTTATGTATTGCTAAAAAAGTGTTAGGTCTTATTTTTTGTAAGGTTTTATGCTATTATTATATATTATATTTAACCACTTTCAAAATATTTACCCTTGAAAAAAGCAATGGTCAAAAATAATTAAATACATCAGGTAGAGCATTTAACAACAAAAAGACGTAAATACATAATCTAGACTAAGGTTCTCAGAAGATATATTCTAACTTCTACTCTAAGATAGAGTGCAGCCTCGAAACTTACCCAAAGCATATTTGCATCAAAAAACATACTCGAGATGTGAGACTTACCAACACTTGACGCATTCCTCAAACATACGTTAGCTTCGTATTTGAACGCATTTCTATCAATTTTCAGGTCTTTAATATTATAAAGTCCACAGCGATTTTGGCGTAGTTTTCATTACCAATATTTTCTGTGCTTAATGGTTCTCCTGTGTCTGAATACGTATTTAAATGAAATTTCGAATCTCAAAAAATTATTCTTGTTTTGTTAACTAACTTTGTATTCATTCATTTAAGTTGCAGGGACTGATATAGATCAATGGTATCTAATGGGATCGCCACTACCACTTTTTGTTATAACATCGACATATATATTGTTCATCTTAAGAATTGGACCTGCTCTCATGAATTCGAGACCACCGATGAAACTAAATAACGTGCTACTAATTTACAATGCACTACAAGTTATAGTTTCCTTGTTTTTAGCTAGAAAAGTAAGTATTAATGTTTAAAGACTTTCATCAACCTAAATAAAAGACAATGTGTCTCAATAAAAAAGACGGCTGTTTACTTTTATTATTATTAAAAATATCATATTCTCTCGCATGGTCATAATCTTTACGTATATAAAATTAATTTCTAACGCAAGAAATACTAATTTTATCTGTCTATCTTTGTAAATAAGCTTTTGTTGATAGAAGTTTTGGAGCCTCTTCAATGCAACCAAACAAACAATCAAATCTTTCATCTTTATAACATTAATACAGATGAAGATTTTTCGGAAACTGACTTAGTCTTATACTTATTGTTAAGCATATGTATGTTAAGCAGATTATCCTGTATGAAAGCTTACTGTGTTGTGTTCCACATGCCTGCCTCTATTTTAATGTTGAATTCCAAGCGAAGCCGCACCGCCTATTACATAATAATGCACTTCAGTAATAGATGTCGAACCGAGTTTTCAATTTATTAAGATTAAAAATAAATGAGAGAAATTTGACAGTTTGGATGTGCTGTTGTTGATATAGAACATTACCATAATGAGAATCAATGACATAAAAAATAATATGAACCGCTTTGGGTGTTAGTATACGTAATTATATTCTATGACTTTTATCGATAATAGGGATGATGATTGGGTAAAAAAAATGCAATTCTATTTAGTCCGTCAGTCAGATAATAGAAAAATATTAGATACGTATTTTTTTTACTTCAATTTAACAAGAAATAGTATAACAGGCATTAAAGTTGAGGAGTGGGGGCTCGCTACGTCACAGTTGAGTAGAAAACGTACTCTAACGTGACGTCATGCGAAATTACAACTCAATGTAACGCCGTTATTTTATGATTACGAAAAAAATAAAAAAATACGTGTTTAATATTTTTTAACACTCTACCTGACGGACAAACAAACAAAAATTAGTCATCATCCCTATTCTATAATAATATCATAAAAAGACAGATTAGATTTTATATTGTTTGCAATAGGTTCCGTAACTAATGGACCGATTTTAAAATTATTTCACTTATAGGTAGTTGCATCGTACGCGCATCATAAAGGCTTTATTTTACGCCGACGAAGTTGCGAGAAAACAGCTAATTTATGTGTACATACAGTACTTATAGCTGCTAGCTTATTTAAATATAAATTGTATCTAATCGATTAGTTTATTTCTGTACATTTACACAACATGGCAGACGGACACTCATTGTTACTTACTCATTGCGTTATTTTGATGTACAATAGGTTCAGTCGATCATTGCCAACAGTTCAAGGTTATTCGGATTGTAATTAATTAAACCCTCCTTTCGTTATAGGGGTTTACAATGATGGCTCGTAATGGCTTACTAAAATATGAATGCACCGAAAAACACGATCTTAAGAATGATGTGAGTATTTTATGTGTAACTGTTTTAAATAATGAGGTTACCAATTACATTTGTAGGTATATTTGGGCTTCCCAAGATGTGTATGTATAAGTATGTCTTTTCAAGTATTTTTCAAAAATTAGACTTTTTCTTAGCTTTCAACTTAGAGTTATGTTTGTTTTATATTATGAGGAATAAGAATAAAGTTTCTATAATAAATTAAATTACTTACAGATCGTTACCTGCATATACTATTATCTACTAGCGAAACTGAGCGAACTCCTCGACACGGTATTCTTCATCCTCCGCAAAAAGCAAAGACAAGTAACGTTTCTTCACGTTTATCACCACACTATCATGATGTGGAACACCTGGCTTTGTTTGAAGCACGGCGCTAGTTACACGCTAGCGTTTTTGGGCAGCACCAACAGCTTCGTCCACGTCATCATGTACACTTACTATGGCCTGGCAGCTTTTCCATCGCTAGCAAAATATCTGTGGTGGAAGAAATATTTGACGGTCTTGCAACTGGTAAGTGGCCTGAACAGTGCCTGAACATTGATGAGGATACGCTCTGTAGCGAAAAGCAACAAGTGCTTGAAAGATTCGTCAGTCCTGTTAGGTCCTGGGTAGCTCAATGGTTAAGGCAGTCGCCCGAATGGCAAAGGGTTCGAATGAGTGCGAATCCCATCTCAGGGTGCCAGGGACCAAGTGAATTTTTTAATAATTTTTCATTAAAAATATTGTTCTAATTAATTAATAATCAAGTCAGAGTAACTTTAATCATAAGAAATCCCTTTTGTTTTGATTCTCAATAGATATACAATATGTTTCCAAGTTCAATATAACATTAATTGTGAGGTGTTGTGCCAATTTTTCATAAACCACGTGATTAGAAAATTGACTTAAGCATTCTTTTTTTCAGACACAATTCGTCATGGTGTTTCTTCACGCTGTCGCAACTCAAGTGTACGGCTGCCCTTTATCAACATTTTTGCTGTCCATAATTATCTTCAATTCAATAGCTTTCTTCATTTTATTTGGGGACTTTTACTTGAAAGCTTATTCGAAGAATTGTAACAAAGAAATAGAATTCCGAGGGAAATCTTTGAAAATATTCTAGTCGTACTTATAGTATTATAGTAAATGCTCATTTCATACTCATTTTCATTAAAAATTTCTAGGTAATGTAATTTTATAATCTATATTATGGATTATTGATATTATATAATGCATAAAAAATAAAATACTCTGTTTGACAAAGTGGTATTATTGTTTTTGTAAATATAAATTATATTAAACATACGACAACCATTTTAAATGCAATTTAGTGAATAACGTAAGTTCCTAGTATACCTATAAACCGAATGACATAGTAGTTAGCGCGTTCTGCGATATTAAGCAACTTTCGCAAGGGTCAGTTATAGGACGAATAACTCGCAAGTAAAACTGTTTTACGCGTACTCACTAGAACTACGTTACTCTATCAGTGCGGTTACAGTTACATGTTTCTAATGAGTTCGCACGTTAACTAACATAATGACTATATTAGTGGTTGAAAATAAAACAAAAGTTTTCTTTTTATTTTAAATGTAATAACATAATAATAAAGAGAAAAATATAGAGTATCGTACAATCAATATGATTGCAAATTATAATTGTAAATTGGAATTGGAATTGGAAAAACATTGGAACATAGAAGGGCCTTGCTTAAAATACATCAAATTAATTCAAATATTTAGTAATAAAGAAATTAACTTGGACAAATAAATTTGAATTTGAAATAAAATTGAAAGATATTATCGTTGCAAATAAAGAGCCTATTAGACAAACTTTACCGAATTCAAAATGTGGCAATTATAAGATACTCCAACTTTTATTTAATTAGATTATAAATAAAGATGACATACTATACCCTCGGAGCCATAAGAGCCTATATTATAGCCTATATTACAATACCTATTTACTGAATTCAAATATTAAACATTAAAATCTTACATTTGTACAATAAAAACATAACTTTCATAATTTATTATAAAGCTATAATTTGGCAAGTAGAATCTACAAACAGCGACGATACCACAACCGCCTAATTATGGTGATCGCACATCGAAACGAATTTTCTTTACACCCTATAAATTAGCGACAGGTGATATCAGAATTCTGAGATACTGCGCATATAATGCGCGATGGTTCATAAATGTATGAATACAGAGAATTCTTTGATTCCTTTATTTCGGCTCAGATGTGCGATAACTTTAACAATGAAAAACATATCAACCACAATATTTATAAACGAATGCCCTTTACAGCGATAATTTTAATAAACTATGTATAATTCCAAATTTATTAACACCACGAATGGTACTGTGATATCGCGCCATTACAAATCAATTCGTCGTCTTGATCATATTAGTGTCAGCTTGATTCTGTATTGGGTTGATTGATGTCAGATTGAAATGGATCCAGATAATTTGATATTCATCAATCGCAACGTTGATGTGATGATCACGAACCATATTGATCGGTTAATGGTTGACAGAGGAAAGAGTTAAGTAAAGGGGCGAAATTTCATCATATCCCTCGAAACAAGACTCTTCTCACTATGCTGCGGGCATCACATGAAAGATTGCACGCGGAGCAACAAAAACAAAATTCCACGCCTTTTAAAAGTCAAACTTCTGCGTAAATAGATGTTCTACTGCACCTATTAGGTATTACCTACGATAAATTAACTTGGACTAGGCGAAATTTTCGGAATTGAACTAATTATCAAAAATGATAAAGGTTATAAAAGATATACACAGTTAAAACTTTACTAATAAGCATAGTGTAGCAGCAACTGAACGTAAAGAAACATTGGAATGACATGAACAGATTTCTATGTGCAACTGTACAATTTTCATAAATTGCTTTTTAGTGAGTGTATTAAATTTATTCTAACAACGAAAGTATATTGCTTTGTTTAGCTTCTTCAAAGGAATATTTCGCTGCCGCATTATTGGTTATGATGGGACATGTCTATTTGTCTAAAAAATTGTCTAATTCACTTTTTCATGTTCTCCTTTTAGTTCTTCTGTAATCACGTTTTGAGTATTCGCCTTGTCATTTGGTTTGCTTTTCTTGTAGCTTTTTCTATAAAAATTGAGGAAAAGCACGAAGAAAAACATGGTATTGAGAGCGATGCATGTTACAAGTCCTTTAGATGGAGGGCAGTCGCAATACTTCACGCTCAACAGGTACTGAAATATAATGGATACAAACTGGACCTGAAAAATTAAAAAAGGTGCTATTATAATGATCATTATCACAGAATTTTGAACGTGACCAATAACAGGTTGAGTATTAAAATAGATTATGGAAATTAGAAAGTGTCTTTCAAACTGACGGACTTTGTAATTGGAATTCACGGGTTCAATATCTTTGCCTTCTATAAAGTATAGGCGCTTTTCTTCTATTTTGATTTTTTTTACGGAATCGAATTAAAAGATGCCTCTATTTTAATGTTGGATTATAAACGTATCAATTATGACCTAGCATTAACCTTAAAATGTTGTGTAATGTGTTATATATCTTTACTTGGCGTTGTATTTCTTTACTAAGTAGGCACCTTACAAATAGATGAAAAGGTGACATTAGAATTTTGACGATTCGACGCGTACACGTGTGTTGTTTATATTTATGATGTTTTGTTTCATACTGTGAATAAGTTATGTGTTTACAAAATAGATGCCTATTCTGTTATATACAAAGAATCCTACAATTATTTCACCTCCTTGGGCATGTTCCTTCTGATAGATGTGTGTTTACCATTAATTTTTCAATTGAATGCCTTTCTCTCCTCTTATTATTTACATAACTATTTCTTCAATTATTTATTGAAAACAAGAAATCATTATATTATACTCACAAGTTGCATTGTGGTGATGTACTTCTTCCATTTCAAATATTTTTCAAATTTAGGACCAAAAACTGCCAATCCGTAATAGGTATACATGACCACGTGCACCAACGAGTTGGTAGCGCCGATGAATATCAGCGTTTGTGACGGCGAGTACTTGAGGATTAACCAGGTGCCGATCATCATGATCGAGTGGTGGTACAGGTGGAGGAAGGTCACTTGCTTGTCTTTCTTGCGTAGAACGAAGAACACTGTGTCCAGAAGCTCAGACAACTTCGCAGCGAAGTACAACCATATATAAAGAAGTATCTGAAATTATTGATAAATATCGCATGATATGTGCGCGCTTAGGGTAAATCGTCCATACAACATAAAATATAAATTACAATTTCTTCAAGTCTGATATCCGTTTTGGCGACTAGATTGGGCATCTTACTAAGACCAAACAGCCATGAAAGCGCCCCCTGTATTTATCTCTCAGTCAATAGGGATGACGACTGGGTAAAAAAATGCAATTCTATTTAGTCCGTCAGTCAGATAATAGAAAAATATAAGATACGTATTTTTTTTTACTTCAATTTAACAAGAAATAGCTTAGATAACAGGTATTAAAGTTGAGGAGTGGGGGCTCGCTACGTCACAGTTTAGTAGAAAACGTACCATAACGTGACGTCATGCGAAATTTCATCTCCGTGTAACGCCGTAATTTTATGATTACGAAAAAATACGTATTTAATATTTTTTAGCACTCTACCTGACGGATAAACAAACAAAAATTAGTCATCATCCCTATTGTGATGGAATGAGAAGTTTTTAGAACTCTAACTGTAATAATATATTAAAATACCTTAACTACATTATATCTTTTAGCATATTAGTCAAGCTACTATTTGACTACACTATGTGTGAATGTATTCTGTGTAAATATTCTGTGTGTGTTATTATTCAAGTAAATATTGTATTTTAGAAGCGCAAAGATCACAGGGGATCTCTAACGACGTTAATTTATGAGGAAAAATAAACTTAAACATTACGTTTAATTTTTATCTCAAACAGCGATATCAGAGGACCAAAAGCATAAAGTGCCTTTATCTCTCTCTAACTTGTTATAATCATAAAGAAGAGAAATTCTATTGTTTGTTTATTTGCATTGAATAGGTTTGAACTACTAGACTTATTTTCTAAATTATTTCACCTACGAGAAGCTAAATCATACGCTGACATAGGCTATAATTCACGCGAGCAAAGTTGCGGGACTACAGTTAGTAGTATGTATAATAAAGGCGGTAGTAAACTTATAAATGGTATTAAAGTTATAGGAAAAATATATATTTACCGTTTTATAATACGATACAGTTGAAACAATTAAATCCTATTTATATTAAAAATGTGAAAGTTTCTTTGTTTGGATGTTTGTATGTCAATCACGCCGCGACTTCTGAACGGGTTTAAATGAAATTCGGTATAAAGATAGGGTATTAGCTGACTTAGATAATAGGATAGATTTTATTCTAAACATTTCCCTAGAGACCACACGGGAGAAGCCGCTGGCGAAAGCTAGTATACCTATAGATAATTAAACTTAATGTTTTTGATATCAAATACACCAAAACAGCATCGAAGTATGATAGAAACCACTACAATAATAAATCACCATCTTACAATAAAGACAAAAATATTTATTGGCATTGTTTACTTTAGAATTTAATCTTAAATTATCTTTTAATGAAAAATATTGTTTACTCTTTTTAAAGCTTATTATTGTTAGTCACACATTACATCAATTTACTCGGGAACTGTGTGTTTTAGCTTCGGTCCTCGATTATATAAAGTTTAATTTTATATAACAGTAAGAATTAAATAAAACTCACCTTTTTACGCGCGCTTTCTTGTGCCATATAACATGTCTTAGGTACTAATCCGAATTCCACTAGCGCAAAGAAATACTGCGAATAAAACATAAATATTGGTTTTGTTTTTGAATGAAAAAAGATGACAATTAGACGAGAATTGATATCAAAGAGAAATGAAACTGGGACAAATTTAAAACACTTTATAATTTCAATTTGAATTCTTTATCAGGACGATATTACCACAGTACTTTAGGTAAACTTTAGATGTTTTAAATCTTATTATGTATGTAAACTTGTTATAACTCTCTCGTTATAAACAAGTTCGAGAGAATTATAACAAGTTACACACACATTTAAACATATATAAACGTAAAATAATTTGTCACTCTTCTATCATTCAATCTAACAACTCATCTGAATGATTACATAAGATAAGAGTCAACATCACTGGCATTGTTAAGAGATCAAATAACTAAACTCTTTGTAATATGGAGATCTGAAACAACGATGGTACAATATCATCCAGACCCAACAAAATGAAGAAAATGAATTATTTAAAGTCCCGTTCATGAATGAAATAAACGTGTACTTGAAAGTATAAGCTAAACTAACAAAATCCTAATCGTCTTTCTCCTTTAAAAGTTGGGATTAAAAAGCATAAAATACTTTGTGGGGTTATATATTTCATCTTTGACTTTTCGTTGAATGGACGTTAAAATAAATAAAAATGGTAACCAGGTTACTCCGTTTTATACATTAGATTAAAATAATTACATATCTAACAAGATCCAGACACTTATAATAGAAGAAACATTTATAACATATGGCTAGACTGTGTGGAGTAGATCCCTTTGCCTTTAATTAAATCATTACAACTGAAATTGACAAATAAGGGCAATTTATACATTGACCTGTCATTGTTATAACCGAATCGATTGCCATTCGGAATCCAAAAGTAATGCAAATATTAACGTTACATAGTAGAAGAAACATGGTTAATTGTCAAGCTGAATATTAACATAAATATCAAACTCCACGAACGAACACACAACAAACAAACCAAACCAATCATCCGCTATCATTCCACTATCATCATCATAGAACATTCATAGATGAAATTTCATCGGATCAACTGCAGAACTGGCTATAATCTTCTTAAATCGGTTGTGGTTCCTTAGCTTTCAATTTTGTTATTTCTCAAGTATTCAATACGTAATTTGAACGAAGAAAATAAATATTTATGAAAGTATCCAAGGACCGTATTTCATATAATATATTATATATAGATTTTATATTGAATATATATTTGACGTTCATTCGCTCAGTCTGTTCGCATCATTACATCACATATTTCACTTATTATTAGCAGTAAATGACGACAGATAATATTCTATAGAACATGTTTGAAAAACTCGCGATTAATTGAGAATCGCTTCTGACATCGTTGATGTATGAGATCGATTTTTCAAAAACCATCAAAACTGCAACCCTTTGACATAGTGTGTGGTGTTCAATTAAAGGCAGAGCGGAATCTATTCTACACAAGTCTTATTTTGAATTTATATTCGATTACTGAAGCGTATTAATGGTACTTTAAAGGCAATAGAATTAATTACAATGTAGAGGAAACGATAATATCCATTAAAATGGATGACCCTTGCATTGCCCGGCGCAAAAGTCATGAAACACTCCCAAGATACAGTTTATTATTAAGTACTTCTGCGTAGACCAGAACGTTTCTTAAGAAGATTTTCGCGTTTAGTTATTGCACTATCATCAGACGTTTTGTTATCTTGATAATTATTAGCAGTTATTTTCTATTTGGTTTAATATTTTAGTTTGGTTTCCCCAGACATTAAAATTCACCATTTTGTAGAAATAAAATCTATTAATCATATATTATTTATTTTTCATATTGCCATCCATGTACGTTTTGAAATTATGGGGTCTGATTTCATTGGGCCCGCGTGGTGGGTTATGACCCATCCCATCTCCAGCAATGGCGACATTAAATATGTAATCGCTCTGATGATAAAAATATTACGTAAAAATAACTGTTAGGCTATTTCAAGATGTTCTTTACCTTTAGAAATAAATAGACGGACAATAGAACTTGGAAAGCATTATAGAATGCTAAAACACCCGTCAGTTTGTATGCTTCCCTCTTTCTCATGAATGCTGGTCCTATTTTTAATACCAACAACAGATAACCGGCCAATATCATGAGCACTGGTCCAGGGTTCTGCATCAGTGGCAAACTGTCTAACTCGGGAACTGTAATTTAAAACATATTATTAATAAATTGTAGATTGAAAGCTTGGTATATGATGCAGAGGTTAAGCAACGTTCATAAAGGCCTGTCATAGGACGGGTGACAAAAAATGTATTAAATCACGCTCCTCCGTACTTCAGGAAACCCGTTAAACTTATTGTCTCGCCTGTAGTTGTAACCTTTGAACAGCATGATCAGTTATGGCTAGTTCTCCTTATTTTTATTCAATCTGTAGCGGAAAACTGTGCCTCAGCAAAGGCATTAAGAGGCTGATGCTGATGATGATTAACTGGAAATTTTCCCTTAAATTCCTAATTTTCTGTCTTAATATTTTTGCTATATTTCCTTCCTAATTAGCATCACGAACTAAAGTTCATTATATATTACTTTCGCATTCTTTAACGATAAATTGATAAAGTAATATTAACAAGTATTTATTAATGTGACTAATAATTTACTTTATCTATTAATTAAATGTAATTTCTAACATTAAACAGCTAATATTATATTCTGTTGTTGTAATGTAATGTAATGTAATGTAATTAATTTAATTTAATTAATTAATACCAAATGAATAAATGAAAAAATCAATGAAATGAAAAATAAATGTTGCCAAAATAAGTAACTAAAGTACTTGAACCGTGATAATTTAAAACAACCAAGCCAAAGGTGCCAAAAAACTCAGACCCGAGACAGCATAGAATTTTCTAATTGATTAATTTTGCTTATTAATATATTATGCTAATGAATAGATTATAGCGTTATAAAAACATGTCTTTTTGACTACAAAAGGTCAAAATTTTGTCATCGTTGATTTTATAATAGTACAGTAGAAAAAAATACAATTTATTGTGATGGAATAATTACATTATAATTAGAAAAACCGATATAGCCACTTGAGCACGGAAATGTATTGTACATTTTAAATGATGGTAACACAGTTATGGCAATGCCAACATAGTTCTGTTTGTTGATTAATTTTTTAATAATCCACCGTAACATCATCTTGAAAATACACTTACATTATACATTTAGTAATAGTACCGACATCTCTGCCTATTAATACTACAAAGACGATTTTTTTGTTTTCATTGATTTCGAAACTACTACACCGATTTTAAAATTCTTTCACCTACGAGAAGCTACATCATACGCGTGTGACAAAGCGCAGGAAAAGACCTAAAAAATACCAAAACGCCATCGAAATTTTTTATAATAAAATGAATTCAGTTAAAATTAATCGCTGATAAGCGGTATGACCGCTTTTGAATAATGATTTTACGTTTTATTGTTTGTATTGTTTTCTTTATTATTTATTTCTGTTGTGTGCAGCGAAATAAACTTTTTATCTTATCTTAAATCAATCTAATAAGTGAAATGAAACTTTTAATATCTTTTGAAATAAATATTATTTAATTGAGCCTCTAAACTGTGACAGCATTACATTTGACGTCAAGTTCAACACTGATCTTTTCACAAAAAAACAAATACTGGTAACTTCATCATCATTATCATCATCAGCCCTTTTACGTCCCCACTGCAGGGGCTAAGGCCTTCCTTAAGGATGGTTAAGGAGGATGGGCCATGACCCTCCACGCTGGCCCAATGCGGATTGGAGGGTATTAACGACTGCAAATGCAGCCAGGATTAACGGCTTAACGTGCCTTCCGAAGCACGGAGTAGCTCGAGAAAATTTTTTTTTGGTCACCCATCCCGTGACCGATCATTGCGAAAGTTGCCTGACGACAACGATCGCGGGCCGCGGCTCTTATCCACTACGCCACCGAGCTACTCGCTGGTAACTTGGTTTTGTTAATAAGCAATTCGGGCGAAAAGTCGTGGGTTCAAGTCCCCTCACCTCTGGTAGGTTTTTAAGCATTTTTCAATAAGAATATTTTCCAGTATAACATTGTAAATGCAAAATTGATCAAATATAATATGATTACAGCTGTTTACGGTATTAGTTTTATCCTAATGCAAAATTTTAAGAGCCGTTAAAGTTAAACTAATATATACCTGTGCGTTAGTTAGAACGCTTTAAAATTCCAAATGGCAACAAAGGGGACAGTGACCAAAGCCGGGTCTTGTGCCCTTTATCGGTGAAATTGTTTTCAAAATAGGTCTTATAGTTTTTGAGATAAGCCATTACAAACAAACAGCAACAATTTTTTATCTTCTTAATAATATTATAGTACAATAAACATTCTATAAATTGGGCTTGCAGAATCATATCTTTATGTTAAATTTGTACTAATTTTGTCAATCAAAATAGGCAGAGTGATTTCCTTTATTGATTTCTATTCGATATTAATATTAAAAAGGGGAAAGATTTGTTTGTTCGCATTGAATAAGCTCTGGAACTACTGAACCTTTTTGAAAAACATATTCACCTACAGAAAGCTTACGACTAAGAGGTAACACAGGTTCTAATTTAGACGGACGAAACCGCGGAAAAGCAGCTCATAGATAATATAAATAATACTCACATGCACTCTTGCTCAAATCCCAAGCGGGATTTTTAATTCCCAGAGAAAAACTCATATTAATCCTTCAAAAATCTTCAAGTCTCAAATTAAATCAACTGAAATTAAAGAAAAGAAATATTGTTTGAAATACGTATTACGCATTTGAACGCCGATGCCTGACTGTAGTTCTTAATTCAGTATTACCTATAACAATTGCTGAATAGAACTGGATAAAATGTTTTAATGTTTGCAACCAAAATGGTTAATATAATTAACAGTGATTCATTGTCTTAAGATAATTATATTTTAATAGGTGAAAACTACTTATTAAATAATTTAAATTGCATCGGCATAACGTCATGATTTAAAGGTCATTTGCAAAATACTTAAATTTCATATGATTGTATGATTCAAATAACATGTGCTTCTATTTTTATCTTACGTTAATGTTTCAGCTTTTCCTGTTTTATGAGGATAATATCATCTTTTATATCAATAACTTAATAAACAATGTTGCATATAATAATTGTTTTTTATGACCATGATTTCAGGAAATTTATAATGAAATCAACACCTGTAAGAGTTTCAGCAAACCTTATGATCCGTAGTGCTATAATAGAGGATAACAACAATTCTTTTTTATACTATTTTATAGAAATAATCAAATTACTCAGGGTTTATTTACAATGCTCGTCATCTATCGGGCAGAACAATTGTAACATGGTTAAATTACGGTATTATTTTAATTTTAATAGAATAATCAGCTCACCTTATGAGATATGGAAGAATTATAATTTATATCATATAGGAAATTAGTTCAAGTGACAGTTTAGAAATTACATTCCTATGTTTGCGAATAAAGTTTTAATGTATCACTTGGTCCAAATACCAAATAACTAAATAGTTAATTTTCGAGCAAAATAACTGAGATAGACGGACGGACCATCTGACGTTATTTTATAAGTGTTCTGTTCATGTACGAGTACAACGATTGATACATGAACTAGCTTGACAGTCTTGCTAATTATTATTATCTTTATAGGTCTTAAAACAGTAATTTATTCACTTCACTTTAAGGCTTGATTCTCATTCACTGAAATAACTCGATATCCGCGATAATACCTTAATTGCAATATGTAAAAAAAATAGTGAATATATTAATTCTTTGCGATACGGATCTCTTAAAATTATGAGCGGCGTTAAAAATTTTACGAATTAAAAATAATATATCGTTTTAAACTATCATAGTCATCAGAATGATCATGGTCATGTTAATGGTAGAATTTTTTTTTAATTAAAATTAAAAATTCTCTTTCCCTAATCGCAATTAGGGAGGGCTTAGCTTTGATAATTATGGAAAATGTGCAATACCCAAAATCAATGAAAAAAAATATTTATGATAGATTAATAATATTTAAATTGTCAAATAAAGAACACACGTGAAAATTATATTAGAATTGGTCTTCAGTGACAAGCGTTAATTAATTGTAATAATAAAATTATAAATTCACATGAACTTATTGTAAGCACCACGTACTACTACAAATACTTCTACTATACGTTGCTTATATCTAAAAAAACAATTTCACTACAAAAACAATATTTTGATAATACCAAATGTGTCCTTTTGTTTGCACTGCTGAAAAACTTATGACCGTCGGCACTCAGTTTCTTGTGAATAGCTTAAATGTTTCTTGGAAGTAAAAACAAGATTATCTAGTTTGTGTCCACAAATCACCAACTTTTATTTAATTTAGTAATTATATATGCATCGGTATATTTTTTTTTTACAATATTAAAATTCAGTTATACAACAACTGAAATACTAATGAGGAAAAAAAAACACGTGATCTTTTTTTATGTCAGGCAATAACCAAAACGTGACGTTGGCAATGACGTTTTTAATTCTCACATATTTTACTTAACATTTTAAATTATACCTATATAGTAAAGTTGTAATGTGGACAGAACTTTTATTTATATATGTAATTATAAGATAAACGCATTGGAATTTTTGTTATGTACTTACGTTTTAGTAATATAAAAGAAACACGTGAGATTTTTTTTTATGTCAGACAAAAACAAACTAATGTTTGTAATCCTAATATTATGTATGTATTATTTATTAGGTACTTGTTTGTTTTAATGCACTGAACGTTAAATAAATAAACTAAATAATGTAATGAAAAAAAAAATACAAAGGTATTATAAAACTACCTTGCGCACGTAAATTATAGCCTACTAGTTTTCTACCAGGGACTTCCCCTGCGTGGTCCCTAGGGAACTTTTCAATTGGATATCCATGCATAATTCGTTATACGGATATAATTACTTTGACAAATTGTAAACAATGGATGCTATGATAACATTTTGATTCCATATACAAACTTTCATTCCCAATTTCATTTCTTTATTGGCTGTGTCAGTAAAATATAGCTTCTGCTCACCGCATATGATGTAACTTCCTCAGTACAATAAATTTGGAGCCTACTTAGTAAACAAAAAATGAAATCTTTCCCCTTAATATTAGTATAGATGTAATTTTACCCTCCAATCCACATTGGGCCAGCGTGGAGGGTCATGGCCCATCCTCCTTAACCATCCATGAGGAAGGCCTGAGCCTGCAGTGGGGACGTAAAAGGGCTGGTGGTATATATAAAAAATGCATTCACAGTGCTCACCAGCAACGATAGTAAATAAACGGTTCATCCATTACAAACAAAAGAAAGAAATTTTAATTCTCCTCTTCATCAACAACATGTTTGTATGAAGGATGAAGGAGTCACAGCTGTTTGACGACACTGTTACTTAACTTCTGCTGTCAGTTTGTTGACACGAAAAGTAGGAGGAACTCAGGAACTTGGAACCTTTTTTTTTTATCGTCGAGGTAATGCTTTTGGCACTATCCCTGTTACCTGGCAAGCAACAGGGGGTGTGTGGGACTCTCCTTCGTGAACCCACTCGGCAGGTGAGCTGCCCAGTGAGTTAACGGAGGCCTACCCACCAAAACCTATACGGTGTACCCTCTCTTGGGAGATGAATGGAACTTGGAACCTGAGTTACGAAAATCCCGTTTTCGTGCAACGAGTACCGTAGGGAAGAATTATAAAGTAACTATTATTTGCTGTAAAGGAGGTGAAGAAAGAACACGCCAACTTTGACTACCATTTCGACAAAATCAATCAGGTTCTTTTTGTTCGTACATGTTTGACCTTACAGTCGCAAATTCAACGCCTTCACGTTCTAACAAATATTCCTAGGCTAATCCTACACTAGACTAGCTTCAGTTTCACCGCTCTATTGCTCGTTATTACTTCTGACATTCAGGGGTTCAGCCTTTGCGACTACTACCATATGTGGTGCCAAGCTTGTAGCATTACGGAATATATCACTTTCCACCAAAACTGTCTAAACAACTGGGATGTGCTCTGTATCATAAGAAAGGACGATAGCAATTTAAAAAGTGTAAAAAACTTTATAGTTTTGATTCATCCTATTATCCTATTAATATTATAAATGTGAAAGTTTCTTTGTTTGGATGTTTAGATGTTTGGATGTTTGTACGTCAATTACGCCGAAACTACTGAACGGATTTTGATGAAATTTGGTATACAGACAGGGTGCTAGCTGACTTAGATACTTTTTATCCCACTAAACATTTCCCTAGGGTCCACGCGGGCGAAGCCGCTGGCAAAAGCTAGTTATAAATAAATTCGATTATAAATAACCGAAACCTAAATGGAAATGCTCTATGAAACTATGAAGTATCTTACGAGCTTGTTAATGATAATATATTATCCCTGCGGATGACTGAAAGATTTGCTGACGCTTACTGCAAAAGTGATGGGTTGGATGCAGACTAAGTAATCGAGATTTAAAGTTTTATTTAATACTAAAGTTTATAACTGTCGGCCATTAAAAAACCAAACGAAAGAACATATAATAATGACGTCAATGCAATCGCATTTATCTGCTTAATATAGAATTGGCTTGTTATGATGTATTTTTAAAGGTAAATACAAAAATAAACTATATATAGAGAAATATGCACCAAAAAATAAACGCTTTTAAGAAGACTATTATTTTTCCTTCTTTTTTAATTCGAAGTCGGTTCCATTTTTTTAAAGTTTTCATTTCATGCATTTAAGTGATATTATGACTTTTGGGGTAACAAACATCACGCATACTTAATGTAAATTGGAGCCTTATATGGACTAAATTAAAATGTGACCACACGGCAAGCACTTTCATATAAAGAAATAATCATCAAAATCGGATCACCCAGTATACAGTTATGAGATGACAAACAGGAAAAAAATACAGTCGAATTGAGTACCTCCTTTTTTTTTGAAGGTTAAAAAACTGCGATGTACGTCAGTCAGTTCGAAATAAAGTGAAATAAAATGAAGGTTGTAAAAACCTACCGTACTTAGTATCAAAGATATATAAATTGAATAAAATAGTGAGTGTACTGACGTCATTATCATTTTTTATTTCGCGTGACTTTTAATTCCTTATAAACTGTAGACTTCATTACTATCATCACCTACTATGTTAATAGGCTGCTCGACCTCAACCCAATTTTTTCAATTCGCGGCAAGTATCGGCATCTTTTGTATTAGATCAAAATAACTAAAAGATTTATGTAGTCGAAACAAACAAGGTTTTTTTTATGTTTAATACAATAACACGCGGGCGAAGCCGCTGGCGGAAAGATAGTTTATTATATTTTGCATTCACAATGCTATACTGGGAAATATACTTAATGAAAAATGCTTAAAAAGTCCACTTATACCGGGGCTAGTGGATGTTTTAAGCAGTTTTCATTAAGAAGATAACAAATAGAATAAAATTCATATAAGTTGCCTAGCCAAGATAAGGGCTATCATCACTGAAAAAGAAAATGTATATGTTTTTTATCAATATTAAACTATATACTCTAAATGCAGCTGGTATAATATAAATTAAAACCTTCTTCGAAAATATGACAAAATCTACTGCAGTAATTAAGAAATTAAAATATATATAGGTGTTTTAAGTTTAATGAGCCCCTCCATAATATAATACTTTCGAACAAAAATAATCATCAGAATCGATCTGACGAAGATATAAAAATCGTTCTATCAATTGTGAATATCTACTTTTAAAGTTGATCAAAAAGACTTCTGGTTTCTTGAGCAGTTAAAAAAATTGGCTCTAGGATCTTCCTCTAGTCCTTACTTACAAAGGGTTGAACTCCAATCAAGCAGGTAATCTGTTTTTCTTAGTACAGAAGAATGCCAAGATGACAATATCATTCTGGACATTTATTGTGAAAATATCACTACTCACATGTGAAACTTCTTCACCAACAAAGCATTTCTTAGGCTTCATATCTTAATAAATAATTATATACCACATATTGCTTCTTAACATTGTTTGATGTCAACTTTTTTGACAATTTTGACAGAAGTTGAGACGTATGACAAACGTTGACCGCTAGATGAATATTAGAAACAGTATTTACTTATTCAATAATAAATACAGACACCGTTTTATTATAATTTGCATTTGGAAAATTTAAATAGATAAATCATTTCGATCATGCCGCAACAGGGGGGGTCGATAGCTCAGTGCTTAATGCTTGGGTTTGCGAGTCGCATATACACTAACTTTCGTAAGGGTTAGACATAAGATAGGTGGCAAAAAATATTATCTCAAGCTTATTCGTGCTTCGGAAGGTACGGTAAGCACCCAACAAACTGGACTCCCCTGATGGGTCATAGCTAATTCTCCCTTTTCGATTCGATTTCATCCACAGAGAATGTCTGTGCCCTAGCAATGGAGACTAGGGTGATAATTTTATTCAATCAGAAAACTGAATAGAAATTATCATCCTTAAATTTTTTAACACTCAAATAAATAATATGTGTGTGTATGATAAAGATGTGTTAACATTAATATATAAGAGAAAATTTGCTGTAAATAATTGATAGTCATATTCAATTAGCATACAGTAACTAATTACCGTATACGTTATGTTTGATGAGGTCATCACCTTTTGATGATGTGTTATAAACACACAGACGCGTCAACAAAGGCTGAGCTAATAAGGATGTTTTCCATCCATCTATTGACTGAACGGGTGATATCTTTACAAAATTAATGATAATGCTGATCATAAAAGGGCGCTCAAAACGAGAATGCTCGCGTATAAGCATACTCAAAGCAAACAACAGAACACGCATGCTATAAACGTAGGTTCTTGACTAAAATGGACGCTGTCCATGGAACCAGCTCTATCCGTACAGAACTCAATAATATAGAATTTTTGCTCGCATTTCAATTAGGAAGTATTTAAAAATAAAAAGAAAGCACCGAAAAAGCACCTCCACTAGACGGCGACTCTAGCAAAAGTCGTTTTTGCAGGAAATGAACGGACCGAAGATAGTAATTTCCGTTCCTTTTAACTTACATATTAAAAAACCGAAGTTAACCAAATACAAAAAAGTACAAATAGAATATGAGTTGTTCATTGAGTTTTAAAAATTAATTTAGTTTTATACATGAAAGAAAACCGGAAGGGTTGTCATTGAGAAATCAATAAAGTACCGTTGCGACATCTAGTTTGATTTCGGGAACTAATGTTTCTTTTTTTAATAATTCCTCATTGTTTAAGAAAATTTCGTTTTGCGGTAACTTTAAAAAATTTAAAAGCCATGCTACTTTTCAGAGCGGATGTGATGAAAATGTACACGTATAGGGATGTCGTTGTTACAAAAAGTTAACATCGATCCAATAACATCAATGTATTATGTCGCAAAATAAACAACTAATAACAATTTAAATGATGTTTTAGACTTTTATTTTTATTTCACCAATTTGGTAAATTATATGATTTATTAAAAAAGTCTATTATACTTTTAAAAAATCGATTAGTTATTAATTTGATTTAGGTAGTAATTGAAAAAATAATCAATCGCTCAAAATCCATATTGATTTAAAGTGTCATATCTCTAGTCGTGTACTTTAACGTCACGACGAGCGCACTAAAAATTCCGGTGTTTAAACTGCTCGTAGCTATTACTTATTATCATCAATGATTAATGTTACAAAATTTTAGTTTTTCGGTGCCGGGTATTTTTTTTACAGTTATATATTAATAAAAAATATTATATAAAAACATTTTCCAAAAATGTGCATATTCCCTATTCTCTTTCTTTAAATGATATTTTGTAGCTAATGTTATTGACTTTATACGTACTGAGTTACGGGGATTACCCGTATTTTATTTTGTGCTTGGATTGTTTATAACCAGCAAGAATAACTTATATTACATATATATTAAGTTCGATATAGAACAATATTTACGTCCCTTAAAAAAAGTACGTGATGACCATTCAAAGAAAGTTTTATTCATGGATCTTCAGTTGTTTAGTTATTTTTTTTTTATTTCAAACCTTTTTTTAAAAAAGACAAGTTTCCTTTTTAGGATACAAGTCTTGTGTATCAACAACTAAACCACACTAAGTCTAACCTCTATAATACAAAATAATGATGACAATTCTAGCCGAAAATTCTTTAAAATTAATGAATATAATGTATAATATAATTATATAAAATACCTAATTAAAAAAGGGGCGGCAGACACCCACGCTACGCCACTAGTATGTCTGTTAATACCTTAATAGTCATTCCTTGCTTGTAAACCAGTTATTTTATTTTAATTTATATTCTAACAAGACCTCCAACCTTGATTAATAATATATAAAAAAATTAATTGCTGTTCGTCTGCCTCCCTAAAATTCGAAAATGGCTGAGCCGATTTAGCTGGTTTTGCTTTTGAAATGTTTGTCATAGTCCACGTAAAGTTTGAACGTTGAGAGTTGATACGAAGTACAACGGGCCGGGTCTATTTCTGTTATAAAACTAGCCTCAAATTCGACTTCGAGCATAGCGCTGTCATAGCATAGAGGTTCGATCGAATAAAACCTACTTTAAAAGGTTCTACGGGCTATTATATTTCATTGAAGCTTTATACGGTGACGGGGCTGTATATGACGACATTTTCGAGATGATTATAAATAAAAGCTGATATGAAATATATAAATACAAATCCGGTTCTACCTGAATATTAACATTGCCAAAAATTATAATATATTTAACTTTATGGAGACAGCCTTGTATTGCAATAATTTGGATAAATAATTTATGATGACAATTTTTTGTTTACTCATCAGGAGATAGAGAATAATATTAAACACATAATTTTTTTTGCGCAATCAATGTATCACGGCCATAGATTATGTTAAAATTTCCTATGACGTCACACTTGTTTACATTTTCTAATAACGCTTCGTGGCAGAAGTGAGTTTCGACATGACATTGTATTAATCAATGAATCTTGTTTTTTTTTTATTTAAAAAAAAAATATATTCAATTGATTTTCCATACTAAACGACGTCAATTCGGACACATGAGTGAATTTGAATTCGGGTTCGGATTCTTACAGAATCGCCGTGCTGTAACTCGACAGTTGCATTTGTGTATCATTTTAAAAGCTTATAGTAAAATCCTTGGCCCCTTGACAAATGCATATTTCCTGTTTTGCGCAAAAATTTTGATATTATCATTATCAACAAAACTGGGACAACTCAAACCACTTCAAAAGTCAACAGCCTTGTTAAAGGTATTAGGGAGTACGTTCAAAATTAACCTTCGCCTTGTACAAGTCCAGTTACAGGACATTTGTTTTAACGAGTGCACTAACCAGATCGCAAGGTAACTAGAAATGTAAAGAATACAGATAAAGACGGAACGAAGTCGAGACGAAATAAACAGCTTTAGTGTTCTATAATAAAATCAATCTATATGAACGTGTGATTACGGATATTGCTAAAGCTTTCTATAGTACTTGACTTCAAGTTCAAGGCTTAGGCTTAAATAAAATTTAAGTCTGAAATTTTATTACGGATCAGCACAACAAGCTAGACAATGTGACAGAAAAATAACACAATTAGATATCATGCAGTTTATATCTATTATTCAAAAAATATGTATATAAATTATATACCAGATAAGATTGCTTGGACTTAAGATGGTCCAGCAACTGGATAGGTCATTTCTTGTAAACTCATTATATCTCAAAATTATCTTGCTGCCATTAATCAATCCTTATTTTATCATTATAAGATCATAGTTTTTTAATTCTCTAGTTATAATGTATTGATCTGGTTATGGCGCGGTTTTGTGAATGTCGTTACTCGCATTGGAGCTGGTGAGTTTCTTGCTCATTCTTCTTATCAGCCATCATATTATCTCGAGCTCCTCCATGCTTCGGAAGGCACGTTAACGCGTTGGTTCCCGCTGCATCTGCAGTCTATATTGCGCACCAATCCTCACTGGGCTTGCGCTCATTCATCTCATTTAAGTCGATGGCATCCAAAGGGACGGCCTGAGCCTCTTCAGTGGGGACAGTAAAATGCTGGTGATGACGATTAATTAATAATAAATATCAAACAACATCATATAATTATGATATTTGATCAATGTTGCATTCACAATGTTATACTGAAAAATATTATTAATGAAAAAGGGTTAAGAAATAACATTATTCAGAACCCATATTCAGTAATTTAAGCACCTGAAATAGAAATCAAATACACAAAAAGTAATACAATACTCTGATCAAAAACGATAAGAAGTTTAATGTCAATATTGGTAACACCAGGAATAGAACACTGAGCTATACGGTACAGAACCTTGAAATAAATATCTGAATATTGCAATGACTTCCAAAGACTTTTTTTGTAATAGATAACCGTTGCTCGCTCAGATTTGAAGTATGAAAATAAAAGAGATAGACGTTGATATATTACTTTGAAGAAGCGGCATAGCAAAAAAGACTCTAGTTAGAGTTAGTAAGGTGGAAGATTTGTAGTTCAAAACATTTATACATTATTTTGATGGTGTTTATGGCATTCCATGAGTAAAAAAAAATTTCGTTAAAGTCGATAAAAATGATAATACATCAACTAAAGAATTTTATTCTAAGAAATATCTTGTTATCGATTATGTTATTCTGCTACAGAATACAAATATTTAGAAAATAAAATAGCATTCTTATTAGTGTCAGTTGAAATTTATTTATAAAAAAATTATAGTAATATACTATTTACAAATAACCTCATAAATAATAAACACTCTGTGACTTAATATTATTCATAAATATAAGAATATCACATCATTACCGATGACACGCAATTCATTTGTACAATTATATAATATACTATTTCTCTACATAAACTTACTTTACGGCAATATGTTACGTGTTCGTTAACGTATTTCAGTACGTTTCCATAACTCAATTCTTTTCTACTCGAAGGAGTATTTATGTATCTCCCTAAGAAAGAGAAGTCTTTCTTCTTTTCAAATACTATAAGGCTTTCTCCATTTCTCAAATTCAATTTTTCAAAGCGATAAAAAGAATGGGGCAACGGAAAATGCTTGTACTTATCTATACTAATATTATAAAGAAGGAAAAATTCGAAGTTACTTTATTTGTAGGGATAATATTTGTAAATGATGTTCCGATCCTGAAAATTATTGCATCTGCGAGTATCTACATGCCGGACACTATCGCAGCAAAACAGCATGTTGAATATAAAATTAATCACTTCTTCTAAATAACTATGTAACTTAACATTAATCATTTGACTGTGGCTGGCATTACCAATATTTATTTGGTTTGAATTAAAGGAACAATTTTATTTTTAACGAAATTTTGACCATTAATTTTGCTTTGGAGAAAAGCTCCGCTAATTACAATGTCATATCTACATAAAATCAATTGAAATTCCTTTAATTGGTGATTAAAAATTTCAAAATCATATAAAATCTTTCTTTTGCATATATTACGTCGTGTACAAAGGTTCTGAGTAAAGACGGGTTGGCGCTGAAATGTTGCTGGCAGCTACTGGTGGTGGCTCTCGCGCTATCAGCAGTGCGGATCGTGCCCGTCTTTTTGCTGAAAATTATTTTACAATTAATATATTTGATCAATTTTGTATTTTCCAGTATAGCATTGTATAGCAACTGGAAATATTCTTAACGAAAACTGCACGAAAATCCACAAGTTCCAGGTATTTTGAAATTACCCATCTCATAGTACGTAGGACTGATTGATTATCAAGCATATTTCATTTAAATCAATAAATAAAAAGTTGCTATTTTGTTTCAAAAATTTAAGTTAGCAAGAATGATTTATAATAATCAAAGAATATTGTCGTTTTAATGTAACATCATACATTTTCTTTTAAACAAATTTCGTAAGATCGTCATGTCAGTAAAGGCACGTTATCATTATCATCAGCTCCCTAGTTGATGGAACACGCACACAAGATTGGACCATAGCACACCACGTGAGCCCAGTGGATTCATAAGTATTTGTGACTGCAGATGCAGCCAAGAGAAAAGTCACGACCCGCTCTTTTAAAAAAAACTCTTTCGTTAGGAAAATCAAAAGTAATGAGTCAATTAGTACGACTAGATACTGGACAAATAAACAATGTTTTCTTCCAAAATGTCTTTTTTTACGAGTTCAATCTACTCGTAGCACTTCATAAATGTAACAAAACTTTTATTCGTATACAATCGATGGCGACGAAAATTTTTAAATATGTAACCTTTTATATACTCACCGTTGGAATGCATACAGCACAAAGTAAGTATGGCTATTAAAGCTGCTAGCGGCAGTATGCCAGCCAAAGCCAACAGCGCGTGCTGCGCTGGCGAATGCTTGGCGCGTGTGGGGCCACAATTAGTGATATTATGGACATTGAATGATTCCAAAATTTCTTGGAATTCAGTTCCTAAAGAACGAATGGTGGCCTTCATCGCTTTTGGTGTTAGCGCCTCACCATTCTCTGTCTTACGGAACTGGAAGCATGGTCTGAAATAATTTCATTAAACAATGTATATATCTATATATATCTTAAACATTTCATTAAACAAATTATTTAAATTACGGTATATATTGGATGTTTTTGACTAAAATCATGAAATAAATACCCACCCTGGATTTAAGTAGAAAGCGGTATGCGAGGCGTCATGCAACTGCATCCGAAGTCCTCGTGGCGCAAGCGCAGATGACATTCTATCTCTCAGCTGATTAAATTTCGCCCGTGTGCCTCCAGGTAGAACCAGACGTAATAGATCTCTTTCTCGAACTACTACTACCTACAAAAAATAAGATAAGATAAGATCTTTATTTGCCAGAATAAAAGTCATTGAGGTCACAAATAATCAGACAAGTATAATATTCTGCCTGCGGACAAATATTGTTATTATATTATTCAACTTATTACATTTCTTATTATATTAAATATTATACAACTCATTACATTACTAATTATTATCATATATTATCATTACGCCATGGATTCTTTTTTAAAGCTAAAAATTCTTTAACGCTTTAAAAGCAGTGTTCTAAAAGCCACTTTGTCAGTTTTAATTTAAATTTATTCATATTTAACAGTTTCGTGTCATCTGGCAACTTATTATATAAAATTATACACATATTCTAAACGTTGTTTTTATAGCTTTTTTTTAAGACAAGGAGGCTGATACAACAGGTTTCTATATTTTCGACTAGTTTGTCTCGGAATAATGTCCACACATTTACTCCAGTAATTGGAATGAGAGTGAACAAACACACAGATATCTTTTATGTACATAAAAAGTAGAGGCAAAATATTAAGCTTTTTGAAAAGTGACTTACAGCTATCATCGAACCAAGCATCACATAACACGAACACATTTCTTTTGAATTTTAAAAACTCTGTTTAGATCTACAGAAGCTCCCCATAGTATCAGACCGTAGCTTAAAACCGACGACTCATAACTATGATATGCTGTTAAATAAGCTTCAACAGAAACTGTTTGTTTCAGTTTCTTTATGGCGAATACAAACTGGTTAAGTTTTCCACATACATGATCAATATGCTGCTTCCAATTAAGATGTTTGACAATTATCATTCCAAGAAAACGTATTGAATCTACTTCTTCTATTACATCATTTCCGAAATTAATTTTTAAAGGAATAGGGTTTGCATTTTATGATCTGAATTGATATAATGTAAATTAGATATGAAAGATATCATTAACAATATTAACTATCGATGTAAATACCAATAACATATTTGTATATAATTGTGCACGTTTAACCAATTGTTTTATGAAGTTGAAAGTCAATTATGTTATAATTTTTTTAATTTGCGAAAATTCATGGATTCGAATCCCATTTAAGGCACATAGAATTGATGTATTTCTAAGTTTTAATCTTTAAGTCAAAATACCATGTAATTATTAATGATACTAAAATGTAAACTAAGTTACAACTAATATTACTAATACTAGGAGAAGAATGTAAACTAAGTTAGAACTAATAGTTACCTCTACTAAGATATTACTAAATCTTTCAGTGTTATTTGAATTGTTAGCTTTCACATGAAGTCTGTAAAAAAGAAACAAATTAAATAAAAAAATTCCAGATATAAAAAAGGAAAATTACAAAATCTACCAACAAAACAACAGTAATGACATTTACCTAAAGATTCCATCAGCATAATGAATTAAATTTTTCATTATTTTCAGCTCTCCGGTGACGTTGTTTAATGTGATTGTATCGGTGATATTATTCAAGGATTTAGATTTGATTGGAGATTCGAAACTCATATTAACTATTGTATACAGTATAGGTAAGGCTTCCGGGTCCTTGTCTATTGCCTTAACAGTTGCAATGACAGTATCTATTGGCACATTTAGTCTAACACCAACAGTCATGTTTGCACTATCAAATTCCGGTAGGTGATCATCGACATCTAAGATTTTGACTAGAATTTGTATTTCAGTGGGATCCTGAAAAAAAAATTGTTTAAAATAAATGTATTCTAAAACTATTACCACAAAAAGTTATAAAATGGCATCAGAGTTATTTTAAAACTTACTAATCTATTGTAGGATTTCGTCAATCGTGCCTTAGAACCGTATTTGAAGCATTTCACAGTAATCAACTGTCTTGAAATTTCTTCTCTGTCCAGTCTAGCTGCTACCTTCAATATGGCTTTGCTATCATTTTGACGTTCGAGCTTGAGTAATCCAAAATTATTACCAGCTGAAAATCCATAGTTATAGTTAAATATAAACATAGAGATCCAAAACAATTCTTCCAAAAAATAAACAATGATGGTTTGTAAAGTCATTACCATTGGAAGTCATTAAAAGTTTACTGCTTCTATCTATTACGAAGCTGAAAGTAAAAATTAGTAAAAATTACCTGTTATAACATAGTCTATTGCAGCATTTTCTCCAATATCTTCGTCAATGGCTTGTATAGTACCAACAACAGTACCTACTGGAACTTCTTCTTTGATATTCATTAAAATCGGAGGATCATCCTGAAAAAATACTGTTTAAAAAAAAATCTATTTTGATGAATATTTTTGATGATTATCGATAAATTGATTTTCTAGGCCGCCAATATATCAATATTAAAGCGAAAAAAGTTAGTACTTACTAAATTCCTTGCAAAGTGTGGTTTATGATCGTCTACGTCAGCAACATTAATAGTAACTATTCTAGTGCTTTGTTGTGGTGGCTGACCTCTGTCGGTTACTAAAAGAACTAGTGTATAAGATGCCTTACGTTCTCGATCTAATGATTGACGGGTCATTATCAAACCTGAGTGAGCATCTAAAATAAATATAATCCATATTTATGCTATTCGAATTTAAACTAATAAAGTTCAATCTAATATGTTGGCACATACTTTTTTTTGCCAACCTCCTCCAGGATCCCGGGTATTAGTGGAATCACTTACAAACAAGACAATCATAAATCGAATTATACTAGGGTCTTACCAATAGAAAATGTTTTAGCATCGGCATTGCTTTGTTGTATAGAGTAATAAAGCTGACCCGATGGTTGTGTAGGATCATCGGGGTCACTAGCTACCACTTGGAAAACTGGTGATCCTATAGTTGAATTCTGTAAAGTAAATCGTATTGCTAGTGATAGGATTTTAATGTCATGTTAATTTATGTTATATTACCTTAACAGAAACTTTGAATGTTACGTGTTACGTTAATGTACGTGCAATACTTGGTGATAAATGAAATATAAATGTTTTCATATCACCATAGCTGTTAATTTTCAAACTATACCAAAGACAGTTGACAGTTTTGTACATACAGCTGCACGTCAGACTACCAAAATATGTCAAATTTCCTCAATTGATTTTGATCTCTACCTACAATGTATTAAGGATTAAAATATGAAGAAATTGGACTGTTTTTATCAGCCTGTCGTGATGTTGACTATTTAATATAATTTACTTCTAATATTATAGAATTCTTTTTTATTATTTTATAAGATCTGCAGTACTATTATTACCTCGCTTATACTTATTACTTCTCCTACAGCTGGTCTTATAAATCTTGGCACACCGTCGTTAGCACTAACGTCTCCAATATAAAGAGATAATGATGTATCTCCAATATGGCCTCCACCATCTGTAGCACCAATCAGTATTCGATAGGGATCTGTGCGACCTCTACCCGTTAGATCTTTATTAGTTGTTATTTCACCTGATACTGAATTTATAGTGAAAAGACCTGTAACGTTTATAATAGAAATACCTTAAAACAGTGGTCACAATTTTATTAGGTACAATAAAAATGGCAAAGTTATTAGCAACATAAGCGTATGATTTTTGAGAGAATATCAAATCAATAACTTTACCACTTGCTTCGCCTTCATCTAAAAATTCGTATTTAATTTCACCACCTAAACCTTCGTCGGGATCCATAGCGGTAACTTTTGTAACACTTATTCCAATAGGTACGTTTTCTGGTACCACAGCTAAAATAATGAAAACAAATGTAAATTAAAAAAAAGTATCAGAAAGTTAATCTAGACAAAACATAACAAAAGTAATTGTTGTAAATACCTGTGTATAGATTTTTTTCAAAAGTTGGCGTATTATCATCAACGTCTAAAACATCTACTAATATAGTTGCAGTAGATTTTAATCTATCTGCTCCACCTTCTGGCATGTCATAAGCTTCCACTTCTAAGCGGAGAACTGACTGACGTTCACGATCTAAGCTTTTATTTTGTACAAGCTAAAATGAAAAAAATAAATAAATCGGATTTGCTAGCTAAAAAAACAATGTGAAATTGAGATATTTTAGTGCGAAAAATTAAAATTAAATAGGGTCGGCGCCCAGTAGCAAGTCAATTAGGCAACATTTTGACAATATGCCTCTATTACTTCACCAAATTTTGCAAGTAAAATGTACTTTATTCATAATTATCTAATTGCTATTATAAGTATTTTTTTAAAGCAACAAGTCCCAATGTGTCTTGGTTGGACCAGGTTGTAAATGGTATCTGATATCGCTTTTGCTTATAACCACATGATTGGTAGAAGTATGGCAATGTTTCCAAACGTAAGAAGAAATGGGGAAAAATGCATAAAAAGTTAATATTTAGATTTAAAGATTGAAATGGTGTACTAAAGGTTCCTGATATGGGACTGTCGGCTCCAATTTTAATTATAAAGTTTAAACTAACCTGTATAACTCCTGTAACATTGTTGATACTGAAAAGGTCAGAATTTTCTCCTCTTAGTGAATAGCGTACTTCTGAGAAACCTTTTAATTTGTCGTCGTCTGTTAAAATTGCATCTGCGTCGATTGCTTTTACAGTTACTAACGCTTCAGGATATTTGATAGATTCCAATACACTTACTTTGTAAAGCTAAAATTAAAAATATTTTTAAAAGATTATTATTATGATTGTATAAAGAAATAATTAATATGACCTATTTTAAATACCTCTTTGTCGAATGTAGGTGCATTATCATTTAGATTTATAACCTCTATTATGATTTTAGCTTCACTATGTTTACTTCCATCATTGCTAGTCGCTTTCACAGTCAAAGTTAAATTAGGACTCGCTAAAAGTTCGTAGTCTAAATGATTTGTTAATAATACTTGCCCGCTCGAGGGATCAACTTGTAATAAATCCGTTTCTGAATTTATTACTTTAAAATTTGATACTACATGGCCTGATATTGGATCTTCTGCCATCAAAACTAATACAGTACTACCTATTGGTTGATCTTCTTTAACCTTGTGATGTATTAATGGATTTGTACTTGACCAGCCCATATTCATAAACTGAGGGTTTTTGTCAGCATAAGGTTGAACGTAAATAGTATATTCAGTAATTGCAAATTGCTTCTCCGTGTTCAATTCCGCGTTTATATCAACGACTTTAATGGTTAAAATGACTATTGATGCCTGACTATAATCTAAAGTTCCATTTACAAATATTTCACCTGAATCCTCATCAATTCTGAATACATGTTTATAATCATAAACTGAATTTGGTTTCAACTGCACGCCTGCCTTAGAAAATGCTTTTATTGGATCTATCAAACTGAATTTTAGTTTGGAATTAATATCAGTATCATGAGCTACAATTTGAGTAACTAAATAATCAATTTTCGTTTTTTCTGAGATATATGTTGTCGTTTCAGTCATATTAAATTTAGGTGGTTTATCATTAACATCTTGAATCGTAACAAACACAGTAGCAGTTGCAGTTTCTGGAATAGGCATACCACTGTCAACTGCCGACACGATTATTTCATATTTGTCGGCATTTATGTCGCGATCAAGATTTGCGTCGTTTGAAACTGTTATCAAACCAGTTCTGAAATAAACATAATAATATTGATATATGTGTAAAAATAAAAATAAAAATAAATTAAGAGTTTAACATTAAGATTTACCAACTTTTGGTTGATGATAAAATTATCTCTTGATCCAGATATTATGTGATAAGTAAGAAGATCATCCAAACCATCTGGATCATTAGCTAAAACCACTGTGACGTTTTCTCCAGGTTTTGCATCTTCCTTTAAAGTGGCCTTATAATTCATAGGATTGAGGTCAAAGGTAAAGTCTTCATTGCTGTCAGGATTATTTTGAGCTACAGTATATTTATAATGGTGATAGTTGCCTTTGAACGTTGGTCGTTGATTTCCTGGCACTCCAACCCTCACATAAACTTTTGTTTCATTATATAAGGGAGGTGACCCTTAAAACAATTGTAGTATTTGTTTACTTAACGTTAGTTAACTACTTAAGTTTTTATCGTGTGTTCATGTTAATCCATTTTTATTATTCAATTAATATCACTTACATACCGTAATCAGTAGCTCTAATAACTAATTCATATTGTCCTCTTGGTGTATCCATAGATTCAACTTTATCAACTATAATTATCTCTCCACTTTCTTCATCGATATTAAAAACGTTTCCGTTGCGAGTAATACTGTTGTCAGATTCGATTGTATACCGAACTCGTCCACCTCCTTGAGTAGGACCATCTGCGTCAGTGGCCTAAAAATTATAAATTTAATTGACTGCTAATATTTTAAGTTAATACAAAGTTAGATATTTCCGTGTGACTTACTCTTACTACAAGTTGTGGTTCAAAATTTGTTGCTCCATCTCTTATAGTTCGACTATATTCAAATAATTCAAATATAGGTGCATTATCATTGACATCTAAAACATCAATGAAAACACTAGTCGTGGTGCTTCTACCCCCACCGTCTTTAGCAAAGAGTGTCAAGCTATAACTTTTTTGCTTTTCATAATCTAGTAACTGAGCTACGTATACACCGCCTTTGTTTTTATCAGTTTGAAACATATTTGAACCAAACCCAGTTAAAGTATACTCTATTTCACCAAATATGCCGTAATCTTTATCTGTAGCTTGAATGTCTCCTACTTTTGTGCCTATAGTAGAATTTTCTGTAATGTAAAACTTATAACTGGAATCATCAAATACTGGCGAATTATCATTCATATCCAATAACTTAATATTAACTCTTGCTGATGACAACTCTACATCGTATGTTGATGCAACAATATCAAAACTAAAATGTCTTTTTTCATCATTATCGACATCATAATCTAATTTTGACGAATCTTGAACTTTGATGCTCAATGGTGTTCTTCCTTCACCGTGGTCAGTGCTCAACGTAAATACTCCACCTGAATTTGAAATATCACGTAGTTTCAAATTATATTTGCTATTTTGACCAATGTCGTAATCTTCGACGTATATTGACAGTCCAGGAACGGGACTTCCATTCTCTATATTTTCGGGTATTGAAATTTCAAATACTTCTTTATTAAATACAGGAACGTGATCATCTACATCTGTGACAATAATCGTTACCGGAGTTACAGTATAATCTGAAGGCACTTCACTGTTTATCATTTCAGTAGCTCTGATATAAAAACTATACACTCCACCATTTTGCATAACAATTTCACTTTCTCTGTCTATGGGATTTTCAGAAGTAACTAATACTGCTCGACCGAAAGGCCTTTCTGGCAAAAGCTTAAAGTACTGCGCTGAATCTCCTTCAATCGTCAATAAAACTGGACGTGGGTTTGCAGTATCTCCATCTTTCGCAACAATTTCCATTATACTTGTATCCTAGAATAAATTATTTTTATATTATGTTACATGTAAAATCTCCATTATTTCATTCACTTATAAATATTGAAATATCTTAATCAATTGATATTTATATCGAACATTTGTTCACGTAGTAATACAATGTTTTCAATATGCAATTGTTATACTCTAATAGTATTCTTAATACAAAATGCTTAAAAATCCACTTGGTCCCTGGCACCCTGAGATGGGAATCGAACCCACGACTAACAGGACTAACGAACCTTGTTACTTTTCGCTACTACAGAGCGTATTCTCATCAATGTTCAGGCATCCACCCGAACAGCCGAAAGAAATATTATTACAAATATTGAAACTTTCGATAAAGATGAGAATTTTGTTTCTATTACAATATTTTGATTTTTTTGCATTACAATGCCATACTGAATAATATTCTTAATACAAAATGCTTTAAAAATCCACTTGGTCCCTGGCACCCTGAGATGGGAACTACTGAATTTGGGATTTAAGCAAAGTAAGTGATGTTGTCTAATATTTAGTTCATTATTTTTACTATTCATTTTTTAATACACTCGATATTGCAAAACTTAGTCATACCGGCGGTGTGTTCTCTGGCACAGTAGCTGAATAAGGAGCATTGACGAAAGCGGGTGGTTGGTCTTGTACATCCTGTACAGCTACTGATAAGCTGGCTAGAGCTCTCATTGGTTTATCAGAAGCGTCGGTTGCTTCTAAAGTAATAACGTAAGCAGACCTGCTCTCAAAGTCCAATGGTTTGTTTAAGTATAAATGTACTTCATACGTATTTGGTGAAACCTGGAAAAAAAATGTATGAGTTTTGCATCTTTTTTGTTATTTATCACGGAACAGTAATTGTTTTTTTTTACCATTTCGGTAAAGACTCTAAAAGTATTGCAAGCTTCAGCATCACTTCCTTTTTCCTTAGTTGAACACTTGACGTGTATCTTAGCATTATCTCCTTCATCACGATCGGACACAATTACTTTCGGTTCAACCTGAAAAGTATAATATACATATTTTTATATAAATATCAAGCAATTATTTATTAAATACGCAACTTAAATTCATAACGATTAACTGAAATGTTTAATTTTTTTTAAACTTACGTCAATTTCTGCATCTACAGGAGTTGTTTCACTAATATTAACTATGTATGGCCTATTATGAAATATAGGAGGATTATCGTTTACGTCTTTTATTGGAATCACTCGGCGAAGTGATACTGTATTTGGTTCAGTGCCTGCTATACCCTCATCTGCAAAATATCAACATAATGAATTTAGGCGTTATTTAATTTATCTACTTAAATATTTCACAACACTAAAAAGCACAATTTATAAATAAGTTATTACCCGTGATGCTGATGATTACTTCTAACGTTGGCTGTTCCTCCCGGTCCAAAGTCTTTGCAAGAGTTACCACACCAGTTACCTGGTCTACTGTGAAGTATTGACCTGATATCGAATATCTCAGGGGACTGTTTTCGGGATCTATGCCTGATAAAATAATATAAAACCGTATGAATATTTTCAATTTTGTATTCATAATAATAGTTACTTAACGTCTTGTAGTATCTTTAAAGTAACACTAAAATCCAGTTGCTCAACTGTTCATTAAAGTATAATGACGACTTTGAGTTCTAATGAGTTTTTTAAATTTGTATTAATACTTTTGCTTTAGACTAATGAAAACTTTAAGGTTAGGGTCCAAACGCAAATTGGCAAAAACAGTATCAAAACTCGAAAAAAGATTAGCAATGTTTAACACAGGATCATATTCTATATCCATCATAATAAATAATGCTATTTTCAAGCATATAAAAATAATCAACTAATTTTGTTGATTACTTTTATATGTAAAATTAATGTTTTCAAAAATAGCCTAAATAAATATTTTATACAAAAATGATAATCGGCACAGGAGTTTTCCAGTGACACCGGAAGTAATTCTTATCATTAATTTCCAGGGTAGAAACTAACTCATAATATTTTATATACATTAATAATTCCATTTATTTATTTTTAATATAATTTTGGTTTTGAATTGTAATGACAATTTGAATGCACAAAGTTAACTTTTAAGTGTCCATATAGATACATAGTTATAGGGGAAATAAAAACAAGATGAATTCAATTCCAGATTTTTTTTAATACAAGAAATAAAAATAAATTAACGGTGCCTGTCACTAGACTGCAAAAAGTTAATAACTCTTTCAAGGGTCTTTGTGTGCGCTTCTACAATAAGGTCCCAAGCAAAATACAACAATTAGATATCATGCAGTTTAAATCTACTATTAAAAAAATACTTATTAAAAAAGCTTATTATAAGGTATCCGATTATGTAACAGATAAGAACGCTTGGACTTGAGATGATCCAGCAACTGGATAGGTGATTACTTCTAAACTCATTATCTTGTTTCCATTATTATTAAATGATTATGTTATTATTATAAGACCATAGTTTTTTTTATCTCTGTTTATAATGTATTGATCTGGTAATGACATGGTTTTTGTAAATGTCATTACTCATATTAGAGCTGGTGAGTTTCTTGCTCGTTCTTCTTATCAGCCAAAAGACGTCCTGAACGAGTGGTAGGGAAAAAATGTTGGACGATTCAAAAGTACTTTTAAGAAGTCTATTTGAATAAAGATTATTTTGACTTTGACTTTGACTTTTTTGGTCTGATAATACTTTCATGTAGTTTTCTAAAGAGTCAATTGGCTTGTTTATAGTCGAAGTTCAAGGTTTTGTGCCGCAACTGCTTTTTTTCGCTTTAAAGTTGAACCTTGTGTAAAATGGATGAGAGCAAAAAAAAAAAAGATAATATTTACATGTTTTTTTTTTCTCCTACCTATTTATTCCTTGTAATAACACAAACTTCATAATCATATCTCAGATATGCTATGGTAATATATCGACAAAAAGTATAATATCATCATTGACAGTGTTTGAAGTTACGTGTTAAAATGGACACGCTAAGCACTTAAGATGTATTTTTATGTATTTTTTGTTTTGTTATTAAGTACTTAGGAAAGGGTTTTTTTGAAAACTTTCTATCTTTACACAATGTTTAAAATATTTTCGAAAGTGCAGTCTATGACAATATTCATGTGAATGATATATAATTTTGTATTTTATATACCAGAACCTGACCTGTTTTGATATAGAATCTTTTTGGGGCAAGGCAAGGGCAGTAATCTTTATTTCTTAAATAATTTTGATAAATTGAGCCATGTTAATCAATATAGAAGACAAGAGGCGTTGAGTCAGGCCCTTAGAGAAATAATCTTCAGGAGATAATTTAGTGAAATGTTATTATGAGTTATGCATCGAATTATCATCATCATCAGCCGTAAGACTCCCACTGCTGAGCATAAGCCTCCCTTATAGACCTCCACGATGATCGCTCCTGCGGTGCTCGCATTCAGCGACTTCCCGCAACCTTTGTAAGATCGTCAGTCCACTCTTCCGCCCCAATGGCCATCAATTCTTCTCACTACATGTCCCGCTCACTGCCACTTCAGGTGAGCAATTCTTAGAGCAATGTCAGTAACGTTAGTTCTCCTTCGATTACGGAGAGAAATACCAAGCATTACTCTCTCCATTGCCCACTGGGTGAGCTTGAGTCAGTACATCGAAAGTTCCAAACAATTTCATTACGCTATCTAAATACATGTTTCTATTTTAAAAATTATATATCCTTTGCCACTATAGTTTTGAAAAATTATTTCCTTTGTAAATTTTTATACCATGAATAGCCTAGCGTGTCTATTTGGACACATTAATTTTTTTATTCAAAATAAATGTTATCCGCTGTAAAAAGCGATTTTTATTAATATTTGACCAAACTTTACGTAGTTCATCCAAAACTGTTAGGAAAAATGCAAGTCAAATAATTCAGGCATTGCTGGGTTAAAATGTAATTCTATGACCAATTTTACTTTATGAAATTTTTATCTAATTTCTAATTGATGTTATTAATGATACTTTTTAAATCTTTTTTACGTTGACTCTCCCTTTCCTAATTCTTTAGATATTGTAGACTAGCCGACGCCACAAATTTCTTGTCGCTTTTTTAAAGTGGTTCGCTAATAAAACATTACTTTATGTTGGTTATTATTGTTTATATTTTATTTTTTATTTATTTAATAAAAAACAACAAATATTTTCTATATACATTATTGTTTGTATATACCACGACATAGCCATATATAATTATAGTCTTATATATAATTTACAAAAAAGAGAAAGTATCATACAAAGTACAGAAAAAGAGTTCAAATAAATCTAGGTAGTTAAAACAAACCTCTTAAGTGGTATACTGGTGTACCAACGGGCGTATCTTCAGGTAGACTAAATTGAGACATATCCCCAATCTGTGGCACAAAGTGTGGAGCTCTGTTTATGACTTGGTTTGAACACTGTCCCAAAAGAGATATTAACAATAGAACTATCAGGGGAGAAGGCTCGGAGAATACGATCGCCGCGGTCCGTTTCTGGAATATAATTTCAGCCATCTGAAATTAAATGAAAACGAATATTTAAAAAGTTTACATAAAATAAAATCTCTAAGATTTTGTTGAATTTTTTTTTGTTATTTACCTATTTTCCTTGTAAAAAAATATTCTCTATATAATCACAGATTGTTATTGACAGAGATCCACGTCTGAATGAATGAAAAAAAAAAAAATTATTCAAATAACAAAATCACTTTTGAATCATCTAAGTTTTTTCCTAACTCGTTCAGAATGTCTTTCGGCATCTGGCTTTCAAGGAGTACCAACAACAAAGGATCAGTGAAAACTTTGTTTTATTCTTTCAGGAAAGAGTTTGTTTGTAATTTTTCCGTGTAAGTATAACAATTTTACTAAATGTCCATTGGCTAACCGGATAATTGATTAGACAGCCAGAATACGCAATATTGAACTCTGAAACAAGATCACCCGGCCAGTACGATTACTACACGAACGGCCCGCGAGACCGCGACGATTACCTAACAATTGTTTTAGGCGGTATACTAACTTTGATACAGTAAACATGCCTATTCAGTACTTCAGATGTCGCAACACCTTGAAACTGGCGTATGAGCTTAGCCATAGAATTTTTTGTTTGAAAGAACTTTAATAACCTCATCAGTGTACCGTGTATCATTCAATTATGTTTATTGGTGTACATTGAACGATTTGAAAAACCGTTTGAATTGTCAATCAAACAGAAATATATAATATAGACTAGACTGGCCCTTAAAAACTACTACAAAATACTTATATCCAGTCTTTATTTGCTTTATATATATAAATACTTTTGCGCCCACAATCATATATCTACGTTATTTACCGCGTTGGTACTACTGTCTCTATCTGCACTGTGGCAAAATTTACACTTGTTTTACTAGCACCAACAATGCTTTAATTTTGCAACTGGCCAAGACAATTTACACATCAATGAAACGTGGGTAAAAAATTACAATTGTTTAAGTAGCCTAATATCGTGTATGATATCAGCATGAAGTATTAAAACATTGTCTTCATTTTAATAATAACATAAAATTGGTATTGAAACATAAACCTGTTCTTCCCTTTTTCATAACTTACATCTTTAAAAAAGCCTATACAATAGTTCAAGAAGAATTTCTGAACTTAATGGATCAGGATTTATAGACGCCATAGATGATACGACTTGACGACGCTGATTATATATATAATATTTTACAAAGCTAAATTATCTTGAGTCTTATTATTAAGTACATAAATAATTGAACTAATGAATAATTTTATATATTAAATAATACAAACTTGTTTTTTGTATTCTGTCAATTAATAGTATTTTTTAAGGAAAATAATTAAAGAGGCAATGACTGTATTTCAAATTGATAACTTATTAGCAACAATCTCATCACGAAGCGTGGTAATTAGTGGGTTTTAAACCACAAGTTTTTTATTCTACGGTAATTCACGCAATGTTAAGGTACCTAGTCGTTATGTCAGAAAGGAAACATTTTTCTAACAATCCAAGTGTGACCGACCTCTTACAATAATGACCAGCCAGCGAACTATATTTCTTTTTGCGCTCTTGAACTGTTATTATGTAGAATCTAAATATAGCTGTAATGTTACTAGAAGCGAAAGGTGTTTTTGGCTGAATATTTTAGGTGTTTAATTTTTTTATTTCTTAATGTCTCATAATATTATATTTATATAAAAAAGTCGATCTATACATTTACTGTATTTTAAAATTTGCCCATTACTGTGTGAACTTAACTTTTAAAAAAAGCCGAGTATGTCTATAAATATTAAAGCTTTTTTTGTTCCAATTATGTAAAACCGAGGCGTAATCATCATCATCAGACAATCAATTGTAGTTATTGACTGCAAATATACCAATAATTATACGCTCGACATGCATTTTTAGATAAATTTTTGGTCACTCATCCTCTGACTGGCCCTTGAGAATGTTTCCTTAGACTTTGAATCGCAGGCTTGTACTAAGCACAGTTCCATCGTCAGATCAATGCAGATTATTCGTTTAAACTTATACAGATCAACATCTCGACCACATTTCTAAGAAAAGAGTTATTATTGAAATTTCTAAAAATTTTATGTTCATTCGCTGCTTCTTTGAATCGTGACTTATATAGGTTGAGTAACAACAACTATCTATTGTTAACGTGACTTCTCAAATCCGTGTCAGTGAACCAAAGACAATGGTGCTGGGAAGTGGCGATAATTGCCTACTATAATAGTTCCCTTTTGGTACTTAATCTGTTGGCATACTGGTGGCATTTTTTCGAAGTATTGATTGGCTAAATCGTCTGTTTTTCGAAGTATTGACTGATCTTTGAGGGAGACCTTAGGTTCTGTTGCCAATTGGATTTATATCAAAGCCGTAATCTGGAGATTTTATGAAGTCAAATTTTTAGACCAAGTATATTTCCTATTTAATAATGACAATCGATCATTGTGGGTTTGACAATCGATCATTGTGGCACGTTTAAAGTTTATTCAAGAAGTAACACATTTAGTCTTTGAATATATTCATCAGCCACTAAGAGTGTAAGACCATCATTCAATTTTTGAAACGTAGTCTAAACAAGTCTTAACAGCTTTTCAATAGAAAAGACTTCACTAATATTTGGGAAGTGATTCCCCACATTGAAGTGACTCCTGATTATTTTTGTATACCCTCTATTGTTAATTGTCAGTATTAAAAATGACTAAGAGGTATATGTAATGTTTCTGTTTATAGCATTCAAATCTATTAAATAACATAGTTGACTCATATATGACTAAGAGCTTTCTAAACTACATAAATTCTTAAAATAAGCGTCAGCTTTTCAATGATGATTAATTTGGAACTCCGAAAAAAAATAAATCAAAAAAGAATCAAAACAAAAACTGCCAAAGTAAAATCATCGTATTAAAAATAAAGATATAACTTTTTTAGTGCAATAATTAGTTAATTTGCGAATATCTATCAAGGTACTTAAAAAGAAAATTTAGTGATTTCTCATTGTATGACTTAATATTTTAAACTTAATAAAAAGCTCGCAAGGTCAAATAAATTCACCTTTCGATATTAACCGGATTTGTAGTCCAAATTTAAGAATATCAACATCAAATCTCTTTTAACTTCATAATCTATCACATGATTATATAGAATTTATATTACCTTTTGAAAATGATAGATAACGAACATTTGTACTATGCAAAGAAAGTTTTACTCGTAAACACACCTTAAATAACTGTAATTCACAAGTTATAAAAAAAAACAGTTAGTTTATCTTAATACACACCTTGTTATTATGATCCTTTTTAATTCAATCACTACACAAATACAAACATTATTTATGATTTATTTACACACACAGAAACCCTTATAAATATTTTATAAAAAACATTTTTTTTTCTATCTCGTAAACTTCACTCCGCACCGTTTGATATGTACTGTCAAAAACTTGCACCACCGGTATTCTGTAGTGGTTTTGTGTTACGCGCGTCTTGCTCATTCGCTGTTTGGTTTAGTTTGGAGTGAGAAAGAGATGGCAGTATACCGTTAATTCCGTCGAATATTCTCCGCAGATAGAGCCTTTTTGCACAGGTAAAAGTAACGGGGGTTTTCTTAAGATGCGTGAGTTGCGATATAGAATGTAGACTCGTGTTTGTTAAAAAGAGATAGATGATATACTAGGTCATGTTCTAAAGGGTATACGTCATATATATGGCTTATATTAAGGTCACAGTAAAAGTTAAATACTATAGAATATACCATAGAAAATAACTATTGCTTTGTGTTGATTGTAAAATAAAATAAAAAAATTGATATTTATTCCTCTTGTCATTGTTAGCTAATACAGTGTAAAATGTGTTTAGCGAAAATATAAGTTTCTTATTTTTTTTTAAATATGTTATTTATACTTTAACCATTTTCTTCAAATTTTATTATAACCAGGGATCAACAGTGATAATGATTGATTGAGTTGTTATTTTTAACTAAAAACGATAAAATCAATACTTACTTTACTACATTTTGAATAGGAACGCCATCTGTGAACATGCAGCGATAATGAATACCAGAACTCAAATGCTTTATCTTTGTTGCAAGCAAAGTCGCTTTCGCAATGCATTACTATTTTATAGAATAGTTTGTAGAGTTGCCGTGGCTCTACCGTCACATCTTAGTTACAATCCACAGGTTCACATATTTTTGTTCCAATATCATAATGTATATTTATTAATAATGAATACAAACGTTTATTTGAAAGTTTTATTTACAAAAAAAAGTGCCCACTCTTTCTTCTATAAACGTAAATAACTTAAATACTAGGTAAAAAATAGTCGGTGGGACACTAGTAGATATGAACGAACTTAAATGAATTTCGAAACCAAAGAATTCAGTTTTGGTCAGTGATTTCCGACAGATTAAGTTTTACTTCTTTTGATTTCAGTATAAGAAAGTGAGAAATCTGGTCTTCGAAAACCTTTGGCTAATAAACTAAGTCTTCGTTTCCTATTTATTTCTGAATTAGGATCTAACAGAGTATTTAAAATTTTGGAGTATCTATACATATTCCTATAATGCCCGTTAATTTGAGTTGTAGTCGTAATTGTTTCATTTAACCTAGAATCATCTTTTTCGATAACTGTCTCTGCAGTGGTAGTAATATTGTCATTTTCAAGGATAGTTAATATTGTTTGCTGTTCAATATCATGAAAGTCAATTTTATCTCTAGAATTTCTTCTATTCAAAACTTTGTTATCTTGATATTCTGATTCACGATATATTCTATATTCGTCAGATATTCTAGCGTCTTCATGACTAAATTTAAGTATATCAGGTGGCTTTGTATACCACGCTCCTTCGGTGCTTGACAATGTGACGTCAAAAATAGATGGCACAGTAGTTGTGGTGGTAGCAGGAAGTAATAATGGAGGTGGTGGAGGGAGTGTTCTTGCTTCGATAGGCACAATGCCAGAACTTCCAACATGAAAATCTTCTACTTGTGTTGTTGACAAATAAATTGGAATTTCAGTAGTGTAAGGCGATATCGGCACAAAATGATTAGCGTGCGTGGTGGTAGTAGTAGATTGGCTATTATTAAAGAAATATTTAAGGTTACTCATTTCAGTCGTCGTTTCACTGCTTTTTTCTGGTGTGTATAAATTAATTTGCACTATCATACTTGAACTTAAAGGTTTATGATTTATCATCGGTAAATCCGATTCATGCTCTGCATTGTGGGAAGATACTTTATTCTGGCTTAGTAAACGTGGTCTTTTTACAGGAATCGTTCTTCGTCCAACTGGAATTCGTGTTTTCTTTTTAAAAAATATAAGTGGTTTTGAAGTACTTATATAGATTTTGTCTGAATTCGGTCTTAATTTATCTTTGTTTTTGGTATTTTCGTTTTTTACGTCACTTTTGATTGGAAACAAATTAAGCATAACACTAAAACTTTTTGGTTTACTAAAAATTGAAGAATCTGGTATAAGTTTTTCACTTAAACCTGTTTGTGTACCAATTTTACTGTGATCTATGTTCTCACAACTGTTCCCAATGCAACGTTTTTTTTGGTCTGGTATCGGTCTAAATATTGGTAACTTATAATTTTCACTTTCAAAAAATGTTGGTGAAAATCGTAAAAAACTGTCAGCTAATAGATTGACTTCACCGGGGTTATCTGGTTTGTATTTAAAAAGTGGATCTGACTTGTGATTAGATTTGTAAATGTCAACTCTCTCTGAGTTTTCCCCAACTATGTTTAGATCGGCTTCACCTGTGCCAGAAAGTGGTGTTTTATTATTATTTTTTGGTTCTATATATACCCCTGTAAATGCGATTTGTTTATTGGTAGGTACAGTATACATATCGCCAATCTTTGCATTGATAGTTTTTTCCAAATATTTTATCACTTGTTGAATATTTTGGAGTCTTTGTGCATTTCGATAACTTTCAATCCAACTCTTTGAACCATATGTCCTGCTAAATGGCACAGGAGTCGGCGATTTGTATTCAAAAATAAAGGGTCTAGGGCTTGTTCTTCTTAATTGATACGGTTTAAATAGATCCTTGCTTATTTTAGGACCTGGTTTTAATTTTCTTAGAAAAAGATTACTTTGCTTCTCTTCTGGGACAATCTCTACTGTAGAATCTACATAAGTATTTTCTTGCATTGCATTTACCAAAAGAGGCATTCGTTCGTAATAATCTTGGTCGAATCCAAAGTAACTTCGGTCGAGTCTATCTGCCACTGGATTGTCATTAGTTACGTTAATATTAGCTCTTCTAATAGCTTTTCTTTTTACTTGTACTAGACTTGATTCTATCGCAACTGCATACTCGTAAATTAGTAGTATTACCTGCAACAAATAGTAGTGGTTACTAATAAATTATGTCAATAAAAAAAAACAGTTGAAATAAACTATAAAAAAATATTAATAATTTTTAAGTGAACATTTAAATTTACTTATGAAAAAGTAATTATGAATATGAAATTGTTGAAATATTTAAATAAAGAATATGTAGATTTGGAAAAGTTTACTATTATAATGTTAATGTTAAACAAACTTTACTACCATTTTAATCTTTAGTGAACATATTTAAATACTGATGTTGAATTTATGACTAACAAAAATATATTGCGTATTGTTTCAATTATGTCATTGTTATATAATAATAATAAATAACTGTTCTTAGTTACGAATTAAGGTAAAATAATTTGAAATAACAAATAAATCTAATGTAAGAAATATCAAATTGTTATTTTTATTTTTGAAGCGTGAGAGATAGAGTGTATACATATATTTATTTATTTAAAATTAACCGATTATTTTAATTCAAACATGACTCACAGATAAATAACAATGTACCTATATTTATATAATATACAAATATTTTATGTATAATATTAAATTTCACAGTTATAGTAAATCGAAAACGTTATATTTCATATTTAAATCGTAATCCTCATTATCATCAGCTTGCCATCCATTGCGATGGATCTCTAAATAAGTTGGTTTGCCAATTGGTATCATAGATCTCAACTTCGTACGGTCATAGTTGCTTGAAAGAAAATCCCACATATCTTCCTTTTTTGTTTTGATGGTTAGGTCAGTACTAACTACTGTGTTATTTATTACAGTAAGAGGTAATGAAGTCATACTTTCAGTTGGTTTAAAGTAGTTTTCTTCTTGATAGTCATTATCGTTTGTAGACTCAATTTCTTCGGTCTTACTAGTGTGGATATTGAAATTATATCGATTTTTCTTGCCATTTAATGTAGATTTCACATTAGTTCTTTTAGTTGATGGAGTATAAGCTTGATAATAAAAGTACAACGATTCATTACTTTGAGATTCATGTTTATAATCTTCTTGTGCAATAAAAGGTGTAGAATTTATTAACTCTTTCTTTTCAGTGACATTTTCTCCAATCCGTAAATTACTAACTACACTTGTTTTATTAAACTTATATGTAGTTTCATGTAGAAACAACTTTGGAGGAGGTTGAGTTGTTTTGTTTATAGTAGGTAAGTGATAATTACGAAGCCTTGGACCAACAGTAAATGTCTTCAGATTGCTGTGATATCTAGAAGGCAAGATTTTTGATTTGAATAATTCTATGCTAGATGCATCGAGATAATTAATTTTTTCAGTGATAGTGGGATAATACGAATTGAAAAAAGGTTTCATTTCTTGGTTTAATGTTGGTTTAACAATAGGATATTTGTTACTATGCTGACTATTAATCTTTCCAATATTTTTTTTACTATATTGTGAAACATATTTTCTTGTTGTAGTAATGAGATTTTTTGTTTGGAGAATATCTAGAACTGATGTCGGTGATGTCGATATCGGTTGTGTTAAAAACAATGGTTTTTTATACTCAGTAGGCTCAGCACTTTGTTTTACCGTAGTCAATGTTGAGGGGGTTTCTTTCTCATCAGTTGCATTCATATCAGATTTAAAATTTATATTAGCACCACAGTCACGGTCTATTATTTCAGTAGTTAAATTTTCTTTGCGCAATTTACTTTTGAATTCGATTGAACTGATTTTATCTTGAACCTGGAATATATTATCAAACTCTGATAAATGTAATGGTAAAGTTGTCTTTTTTTTCTCAATTAATTTAGTATTAATTCTCTTTGTCTTATTGGGCGTCGAGTTTGTAGAAATTTTTTGCTCTAAATTTAATTTGAAACCAGGTAAAAAGGTTTGAAGGCTGGAAAGAATTTTATTTAAGAGCATACTCAATTGTGATGGTTCACATTTACAACCTACTATCTCATTTTTATTATTTTTGCTATTTGATATTATTTGCAGCGGTTTTAATCTTTTAGAAGAAGGTTGGTTTGAATAAGTTTTGACTGTTTTTAATGGGCTGTCGACTTTGGAATTTAGCGTTTTCTTGGTTACGCTGTTATAATCATCGCTGTACATCGACAAAGTATGATCATTATCTTTATCGGTATTACTTTTTTCAAAGTATTGCATGATTCTATTGTAGTCCCTTATTTTTCGGATTTTTGTAAAGTAAGCTAATTTTGTATTAGCGTTGTTGTAAGTGAAGAGTATTGGAGACGTCTTGTATTCTATCGCGTACAGTCTCGATGTAGGTTTCTTCATCCAACTATTTTTATTGATGAAAATATTTTTTTTTAGTATCGATTCTGTCGTTACTCTCCTTTCATAAACAGGACTAGGACTAGAATAATCTTCAATTATCTTTTCTAGAAATCTATTTTGTTTCAAAGCTTTAATCAAAAGGGGTAATAATTTGATTGTTGCTCTGTCAAAGTTCAATTTGGATTTAGAGAACTTTTCGTCAAAGGATGAAGAGGTGCTGTCGTTGATGAGGCCGATCCAATTTGATTTTGTAATAGGTTGTTTACTTGAATCTCGATTTATTCCTGTTTCCACGTAGACCAGGAAAACTGTCTGTAAGAAAAAAGTGTAATTTAAAAAACATTAATTATAATTATCAGAGTTAGTGTTACACAACAAAATGTCAATATATTTACCCACCTTTTTATTTAAGTAATCAATAGCAACATTAATATTAGAAACAAAAACAATGATAAACCAATTTTAATACACAGCAAAGAACATATATTATTCACATTTTATGTATGTAAAACATAATTATTCTTATTTATTGATGTCTTTCAATTTCATTAGTTCTCATTACTTTCCTTAGACTGCATTTAAACTGGATTGATCGTCAACCACCGAATGAATGCGAGCATTACGCAGTTTATTGCATCTCATCCTTTCTTTTTTAGTTCACTTCAATCTGACAATAGGTTAAGCGCAAGGACAAGTTGATGACAGAAAGGCATAAAAGCTAGTTTATTCGTAAATCAAAAGTATTTCAGGAAGAGCACGACCTTCAGTAATTAAGAACAGAAAAAAGAAGAGTCATTATCCCGCCTTCAAAGAATCTCCGCAAGACTTACTCATTGATCAATAAAAAAAAATGACAAATGGTTCTTTTATAGTGACCAACAGTTATTTCTGGCACTCTTATAATAACACGAGAATTAAATTAAGTACTTTCTTCAAGCTATTAACCGCCTAAAGCAAATTGACAATGACAGAAGGGAAAACGTCTGTACTAAAGTAAGTTTTATAATGGAACCAATGACTGATCGATTTAAATGAACCCAAAGAGATACATTATACGGTATGTGTTTACTCAGAAAGAGTAATCACAATAGTGTTTATGGAATCAAAACAATGACAAACAAATGGAATTATGCACACAACACGTGTTATAAATAACAATACGCATCTCCACAAAGTTTTCAAAATATAAGCTATGATGAAAATAAATTTGAGTTTCGAAATTTTGCCTATATTAATTAGATGAACAAATTTCTTGAATTATAATGGGAATGTATGTACGAGTATGTCTGAATGTTTAAAAATTCTGTTCGAAATGAAAATAGAAGAATCTTTATGAAATTCATAAATTATATAAAGATATTTGTTAGTTATATTTTCGCAAGTGCTTTATAGATTTTCTCGTATTATCAGACGTTTCGATCCATTGCAGACTGCGACCTCATTAGGTTAAGATATTGGCCATGTTAAAGTCGTGTCTTGTTATTTGTAGTGTCATCAATAATTTTTTAAATATCGATTTATAAGTGTACTACTTTTATATAAAATAACACAACCTTATTTCTACTTCGTTGAATTCTTTTTGTTGCCGTTTCAGATAAAAGACATCAACGCGTTTCCCAGTTGCAATTGCTTGTACGTCGGTTTCAATATATTACCATTTCTGTAGACCCAAGTTTGATTCCCGGTCGTTTCAATAAAGAAAATTAACTTCTCTATATTGCCAAGTTCAGATTAAGCATTTTTTAATAATGTTTTATGCAAAGAAGAAGTATTATTTTTGATTCCAAAATATATCATCTATCTATATCACAGATTTAATTAAAATAGATTAAAATTATAGAAAATTCTAATTACAAAAGATAATAAGATTATATATTTTGTAGGTTTTTCTGGCTTCGTGTAATGCATGTGGCTATAAGGAAGACAGCAGATATCTCATGAAAGTATAATCAGCAATTTTCCTTGAAAAATTACTACTTTATTTATCGACATTGACACGAATAGTATCGTTATAAATTTCTTCTTTGTTAGAACATTTATTATAATTAGCATTAGTATTGAATTCCTTCAAGTCAATACCAAATTTATATAATTTGTTAATCACCTCGTTAATATTAGAACTATGTGAACAAATTGCAAATGGATGCTTTTCAAATTTGATTATGAATGCATATCTTGGCCAGTGTTATAAATCACAGAAGTCTTTTGAATTAATTGAAAGTAATACAAGAAACAACAAATAAAAAGATTAAAATTTGGCATATACTCATATTTCTATTAGAAGGGACAGTTTTTCACTTAATCATTCGAGTTTATCAAGTGGAACGCGAAATTGGCCATTATCCAAGTATACATGCAGAAAAACTCAACATTAAAGTATCGTTTCTAAAAATAATGTTTTAGTACTAATCCACGAGAAATAATGTGTAATAAAAATAGATATATATGACCTTTTTATAGTTAAGAAATTCTTCGTTCATGCAAAACTTCTGTTTCTAAAAAATAATTTTAAGAAATTAAATACATTTTTTCCATGACAAGATAAATTTCCTATTAATCAACCTCTAATCAACTTTTTAAGGAAGTCCGTTAGTTATTAAACAATATTATTGAAACTAAGCAGTGTAAATAATAATACAACTAACACGACAAATAATTAGTTACTCTGCTCTAAATATGCGTTTACTCACAATTACAACCGTAACAGTGATCGCCGTCGATATAGTAGCGCACACACAGCCTTGTTTGACTTGCCGTTTCCTCGACTGTTTGAGGAACTCCTCAGTTCGGGCATCGATGGTCCTGTACAAGCCGAACTGTCTTATTCGGGAGCTAGCGCTGAACGACACCGAACTCTCACTTGACATATCGACAGCTCACATCACTAGTAAGAAACTGCTAAATTTCTCGGCACACGTGCGCTTGTTTCAGTACACACAAGAAAATGTAGCGGCATATGTGTCCGCGAACCACAATGTGTTTTCTTTTGCTAACTGTGTTTAGTGTTATGATGGTTGAGTTTTATCGATATTTTTAATTTGTCACATTTAAGAAAGATAAAATAAGCTTCTGTTTATAATTGTTGATAGAATGCTGATCGGTTCCATTAATATTACACATGTAATGTTAAAAATTTAATCTACCAGTACATTCTTTAATGACTGTACCGTTTAAAAAAGTCTTGGTCTAATAATAATCTTAGAGGGACTTTGTTTCTTTGTGCATTGCATAGTGCTGTAAATAATGTACATTATTTTGTAGTTTGTCGAAGACTCGCATATTAATAAGTATAAAAAATATTATTCACAAACTTTAAACACTTTACAATCTCAAAGTTGGTAAGAAAAACGTTTATTTATTCTTATGTATCACAACATCTGCTAAAACAATATAAAAACAATGCGTTTTCCACATCAATCAAATTAGTAATAAAAGGCATTTAAATTGATGACAGCAGATTCAGTATCTAGATCCACACGTTAGAAACTCAATTGCCATTGCTAGATGATTTGTTCGATATGCCGCAGCCAATTTTGTTCATAGCGCAGACTTTCTGCAAATACTCCTTACATAAAATAATAATGTTTTTATTATATGAGCTACAAAGATCTCTCACGATATACATGTAGACTATCAATTATTGAAAACCTTTCTTTGAATGATGGCGAAAGAACGAAAATCGTCCAATAATAATAATAGTAATTTATTTGCTTTCCAAAATCAGCAATTAAAAAGGTAGTCGATATTAAATATCGATATTCGCTCAACACTAGCTCTCGTATTCGGACGCAATTCACTGGACCATGTAGTCGACAAACGCTCGCTCATACATTCATATTGACAAGAGAAACGTGTATAATGTGCAATTTATACAACACTGCACAAACATTACTGTCTTTCATCTCACAGTTATTATATAAGGTTTATAATAAAAATCAAATCACAATTAAGATAAGCATTTATTACAGCTATCGTCAATAAATGGAGTTGCTTAATTGTTATGAGTCATTGCAAATTTATTTTAATGTTGTGTACATGTTTGTTTGTTATTATGTAAACAAGACAATATTTATAAAAAAAATGAGAAATGTAATACTTACTCCATTGCATTAATTTGTTGGGATCATAAGTAATCGTTTGATTGTTTATTCTAAATTTGTAACATTTTAGCATGCAATTATCCACTAGTAACTTTTCGCCGGTGATTATTGTGTGAGTCAAAGGTCTTACCTCCTTAATACATTTTAAAAACCCAAGACATGACTTTGATTAGGGCTAGGACCCGGAAACCCGGTCTGGGTTAATTACTGTTACCTCTTGTTCTGTGTCTGTGACCTATAAAGAACACAATTTCGACGTATTTATTTTTTCTAAAAAATACTAAAACTTTACTGTGTAATGATTCTTAACTTAGACGGATAAGAATTCATTATGTCATGAGCCGATTGACTGATTATAACTTTTTAACTTTCAAAACACGATGAGTAATTTCATATAATTACGCTTATAAATCGGATCGCATCAATGCAGTTTATAAAGAGAAATCTTTCCATAATTAAAGCATGTAAAATTACATACGAACTTACGTTTTACGAACAGTATTTATTTTTATATGATAGGAAGACCTAAAGCTAACAACAAGAATAATATTACGAATAGGAGGCCGATATTCAGTTACAGGTTCTCATAAATATTATAGACTATAATAAGCAGATCGATGTGATTCTGCTTAGTATATTTTCTTCTGTACATTCTTTAAAAACAAAGGAGATTAGCTTTGCATTCTATACATATTTTATTAGAGAAGGAAGCCTACTCTAATTCACCGAAAAACGAATTATCGTTCGAAATTTCGGACGTTTCCTACCACAATTACGTTCGTTCCGAATATTCAACGAACGAAAATGTTTGACATATTTATTTTCTAAACCTACTCTATTTCACGAAATGACAAAACGAACATTTGAGTTTGACATCTAATTGTTCGGAATTCTTACCTCAAATTGACGAAGTAAAAAATGTTACCTTTTCATTTTCGTTAGCAATTTTTTATTTTCGAAATGGGGTCTATATTACTATTAACCTCTTGAGTGTTTCTCTCTCTCTACCGGACATATGGCTAGCATGTCGTGAATTTCGAAAAAATTATTACCTTGACTACTATGGCTCACAAAAACCGTTATTAGGGCATTCTATTGCAATAATAATTACATAATACGCATATCATTGTCTTCGCCATAAAATTTCTGAACGTGTAAAATATATTATTTAGTTCGAAATACTCACGTTTATGCGTAAAGATGAAAAACAAATGACGATTATGATTTTTCGACTTGTTAACTCCAACAACGAATGATGATATATCGGATTCCCTCACATGTACACTAACACAAACACTGTCATATTATCACACATATATTCACGCATCTATTTCATAAGTTATTCGTTTCTAAACAATCAACTGATACCGTAAAACAAATATTTACATTATGTTAGCACGGGAATTCGTAATGTCGGCCATTTACTGTCCGCCGGGCCGGTTGACCGTTGGTGCAGTCGGACCACGTGATATCGCAATGGTACCATTGGCAAAAAAAATATGAACAAAATTATGTAATATATTTGAAGTAATTTCGATTTTGTTGATGTTGACATTAATAAGTATAAATAATATCCTAATCAAAATTATATTGTTATGAACGTATTTTAGTTTTTGTTCACTAATAATAATGATTTTTTTATTATTATTTTTTAACATGCCTGTCATATAGAACAATGGTCCCGGCTGAATGCTAGATGATAGCCTTATCTAAAACATTGTTTTTTTACGACATTATTTATTACTAAATACCTATTTCTTACGACCAGCTATACTGTAAACGATTTGAATAGATAGTATCCTTACCTGGCACAGTATAATGGTCAACAAAAAAGATCGCAAAGGCAAAACTAAACAAAATGTCTGTTATGATTCTTTACAAACAAAATACACGTGCTTGCAGTATAATCAAAGTCTTTTGTCTTGTGTTCTAAACTGACAAAAAATACGGATTTTATGAATACAAGAAAATAATGTTTTTTCATATTATACGTTTTATCTGAAATAAACAATGCAATGGTTCTACAGAGACTGTTCTCAAGAATCGCATTTCTATATATGACTCTTTAGATATACCTACTCACGTCCACTTTCAAACATCAGTGTTGGATAGATAATGTCAATTTATTTTTATTTATTATGAAATAAAAAACGTCAGTTTAAAAAAGGTTGTGAGTATTCATATGTTTCTTACTACTTTTTATATAGTAATTCTTTTATCTATTATAATTGATAATAAAGAGTGTACTTTAAAAATACTAGTGGCAACTCGCGGCTTCACCCGCGTAGTGCCCGTGCGCTTGCGAAAATCGGGATAAATTACAGCTTATGGGATAAATAATATACTGATGTATAACCTATATTATTATGAAATGTCATCCAAATCTTTTTTCGTAAAAGAATAACAAACATACATCCATACTAACGTACTTTCGCATTTCTAATACTATTATAGTAGGACACATCCAAACAATTTTTATGCTGGTGGTACTTCATTACGTAATACACCAAAATGGCGGTTGGATTTGACAGCTAATTTGTTTGAAACGAAGTTATAGTATAAATAACTTCGTTTCTATCAAAATATCTCAGAAAAATGAGTAACGATTGGTGACGTTATGTTCCTAGATAAATAATCTGACTACTAATGATCATTTGAAAGGAAATAAAAGGATATTTCACAGTAATATATGACAAAATATGGTCGACGAAACGATGAAAATAAACACCCTTCAAAAGTTACAGCCCTTTTTCAAGCATATTTTTTGCTTTTTTTTAACTTTTCTTACTTTACAAATAAACTATAATCATTTCTCAGTAGGTATTTATAAAAATTCTCACCGTTTACGTCTCGAAAACATCACACTAACACTCACAAAACAGTCACAATAACAACGTTAAATTTCACTTCGACAATGAATGACAGACAATTTGTTTTTATTATTTTTGGTTTGGCTTGGCGGTCCGAATCCAGCTAGAATTGTTCCGAGTGTATTAAATATTAGTAAAGAAACGAAATGTAAAGTCGGACCGTGATTCGGACTAAGCTAAGAACAAAAATCAACGACCAATTACATCAATCCGCTTATGCACATAGGGTGTGCGTCCGACACTTTAGACCATTTTATTTTACGAACATACGTATGTGCGTACGACACTCAAGGGGTTAATCGAGTCAGCTCTCAGTAAAGAACGATTAGACCGTAGAAGAAATCGGCAGCGGCTTCGAAATAGCCTTAATATAAGAAATATTCTCGATACTGAGTTTGTAAGTATTTACAGACTCAGTTGTGAATTATTTCAAGAACTATGCCAAGAGATTATACCTTTACTGCGTCCACAGGCAAGATCTCATGCCATCGAGTCCACAATTAAACTTGGAAGATATTTTATCGTAGTTCTTGATAAAAAAAAATTGCATGCCTACCATTATGCATTTCATATTTTTATGATTTTTACAGCGTTGAATTTTTATGCCCGAGGTAGTTACCAAGGATTCGTATCTCAAAACGTGGATGGGCCTATGGCCCAACAAACAGTTTCACGGTGTTAGGAGGTTAGGACTGTCCTCAATTCACCAGATAGGTATTATAAGAAAATATATTATTCCCTCAAAACCAAAATGAAAGGAATCTTATTAAGAGACAGTGAGTACCTAATAGTTTATTGTTTATTTTGGCTTTATGTATGAATTGTGAATAAATACCTATAGAATTATGTCACTAATATTACAGATTTTACGAGGCATATAGGCTATGGCATTATACC